ACAGCCAAGCTCCCACCCAATCAGCTCAAACCCCACTGGCAGTTAAAAGGAAGAAACAGCTGCGATCACACACACTACTCCCAGAAGCACGAAGCTGAAGACACCAGCCTGAAGATGACGAATGTGACTTCGTCGAAACGTCGCCAAGACACTTCTAATTCTACGCGGGAGAAAACCCAAATAACTAAAGACCTACATATATATATATATATATATACAAAGTAAAAATGCGAACACCAGGAGAATATAAAACGATTAAAAGTTTAGTAAAAACCTTAAAAACTTTTAAAAGCATACAATCATAGGGGCCAAGCTTTGATCGGATCCTTCCGACATCCTCAGGGCACAAAGTTAATCAATGGGAAAAGCATTTATAAATAAGCCAACGCCTGCATCCGGGCCCTAGATCTCATGACAGGGCCATGATAACCAATCCGAGATGAGAGGAAACATCGAGAGAGTGATTATAAGCCTAATGAGGCAAAATGTCCCCACGGTGGTTTGACACGGAAATGCAGCACAAATAAGGATAGAAGGATAATTAAAGGGGTTAATGAGGATGTTACAATGATTGGTTATCATGGCCCTGTCACGAGATCTAGGGCCCGGATGCAGGCGTCGGCTTATTTATAAATGCTTTTCCCATTGATTAACTTTGTGCCCTGAGGATGTCGGAAGGATCCGACGAAAGCTTGGCCCCTATGATTGTATGCTTTTAAAAGTTTTTAAGGTTTTTACTAAACTTTTAATCGTTTTATATTCTCCTGGTGTTCGCATTTTTACTTTGTATCATATATATATATATATATATATATATATATATATATATATATATATATATATATATATATATATATATATATATATATATATATATATATATATATATATATATATATATATATATATATATTCGTAGATTTTCACGGGTACAGGTATGCAGGTCTTGGCATATTCGGGTCTTTTCCCATGTAAGATTGAGAGTATCTTGGCGACATTTTGACGTTCCACTCGTCATCTTTAGACTGGGGTCTTCGGCTTCGTGCTTGTGCGAGCAGGATGTTACAACACAGCCAACCACCCAGGATGTTGCAACACAAAACTCAGGATATCACTACACTAGATCTCAGGATGTAATCACACAGCCCATTACCCAGGTCGTTGTAACACAAAAGACTAATGGGCACACAGCCAGCACCTCAACTACTCAGGATGTTATGAAACAGCAGAACAATCCGCAAACAATAACTCCAACACAGCCAACCAACCTACCTACAGCAACTAAGCCAGCACTCCACACACCCCACCAATATTTATAGAGAGACGGCAGCTCCGATCACACTTTGCTCGCACAAGCACGAAGCCGAAGACCCCAGCCTGAAGATGACGAGTGGGACCTCGTCGAAACGTCGCCAAGATTGTCTCAATCTTATACGGGAAAAGACCCGAATACGCCAAGACTTGCATATATATATATATATATACATACACACACACACAAACATATATATATGTATATATGTTTGTGTGTGTGTGTGTGTATGTATATATATATATATATATATATATATATATATATGTATATATGTCTGTGTGTGTGTGTATATATATATGTGTGTGTGTGTGTGTATGTGTGTGTATATCATGATTAGTTTCATGACAATTTGGCATTATTGTATTTCAGATCCATAAATGAATAAAATAATTAAAATAGACAATATTTTTTTCAGGGTGACAGAGGGGAATGTGGAACACCAGGATTAAAAGGCGACAGAGTAAGTTAAAATTATTATTTGATTATTCTTTCTGTTTAAAACATTTACTACATGAAGATATAAAAGTGGGGATTTTTTGGTAATGAAAAAGACAATATCAATAGTTCTTAAAAAATCCTGATTGATATGAAGTTTCATATCTGTACATTATACTGGTTTTGTAGAATGCATAATTGATAATATAAATTTTTATTAAAAAATGAAACCAAATCCCAGAGTGAATCATGTTGATTGTATAAAATGACTTAATAAACCAGTAAGGCTGAGTAAAATAACTTGAAATTCACTCTTACAGAATTCAGGATGAATAAGATATTTCCAGAAACAATAACATGTCTTCTTCAAGATTGAATTTAATATGGAATGCAGTATTATTAAATATAGAATCATTGGAAAATGGATAGTTGCTAGTTACACTTCAGCATACACAGATTGTACAAATTTTCTCATCAAATCAAATTTTTAATATGATCATAGACCAGCATAAGAAAGATGGGCTACATTAATTAGAGAGTGTAAAAGGTACAGAGTCTAAATCTGACTTGATTTGATTTATACAATATTTATATATTAATTAAAGATGTGCAAAGCCCAACCTATTAAACACATCTTTTCATTATAAAATAATCCGTTTTAAAATCCGTTTTAAAATAAAAAGTTCTGATGACCGTGCCCTTGGCTAGACAGACAGACAGACAGAACGAATGAACGAACGAACGAACGAACGAACGAACGAACGAGCGAGCGAATGAACGAACGAACGAACGAACGAACGAACAAATGAACGAACGAATGCAGAGGCAGTTTATGATTCTTCCTGTTCTCTGGCAATTACAGCACTGTGCTTTGTGGCATGTGTTTCCTCTAAAAAGAAAATAGAGCACCTACTTGTTTTATTTTTATTTATTTACTGGGACTTTTATGCTTCTCTAGTTTCAATGATTTTTTTCAAATTCTTCTTCTGATTCTCCCAGATGATATGTACTGATGTGTCATAGCAGAGGGCAATCTGACCTTGAAATAGCTAAGCTGGTTTGAATGAGAGAACTCCAAAGAATTTCAGGGATATAAACTAGAACAGGAAGTTTAAAAAATTAGAAAACAAAACAACAAAACAGTGGCTGTATTCACCTAATTGCTAGAACAAGAGTTTGATGTGAATGGCACTTTACTTTTAAAGCTTTGGCATATGGCAGTTAATCATATTATAAATATACAAATACAATATCATCAATAGAAAAGAGTGTTATGTAGAACTGTGGACTCCTTAGTGCACTCTGAGTTTGGTGCTCTGAATATCTTGTATGGTATTGAAATGTCTACAAGCAAAAAACCAAACTCGGAGAGCACCAAGGATTCACAGTACTACACTATATTAATTAACATGTACTCCCAGAACAATAATTGTGTATCTAGTTAAAAAAGTGGACAAGCTGCAGTTCCTCAGAAAATAACAGTTCCAATGTTAATTTCATGTTGGTATACATAACATGACAAATGTAACTTCTCAAGTCACTCTCAGTAGTTTAACATTCTTTTCAGACATTGTCTTCTGCCAATAGCTGGCAATATGATTCCCTGTTGAGAGGCTGCCATTAAACATTTACCTAATCTCTCCCACTAACCATTTTTCAAAAATCTGTGGAGAAAAGTTTTGTGTTAAAAATGTTTAATTTGATAAACAGGAATCTATATGATCCATAAAGTTTTTAGCATATTATTATCACATTGTCCATTGATACTGAGAGCATCTAAAGCCATAGTAGAGGATAAAGTGAAATATGTGTCTCTATGTGTGTCCCCTTAAAGAGAAAATTCAAATTAGATAGCAACTGGTGAAGAAATGGACACCATATGTTCAGATTGTAGATATGTAAGGAAACAGCTTTGTCTGGGCATTCAGATTTTTGTTCAGGGCAAAGAATAAAAAGGCACAGAACATCTGCAAAGGATTAAAAAGCCATAATGGATTAGGCATTCAAAGAAGTTTCTGAGTTGTCCAGATTTCTCATCACCCACAAGATTCCCACTTGCAAGAAAAAGATGAAAAGGGTTTGCCAAAAGCTCTTTTTTTTCTACACAAGAGAAAGACAGAAATTATACTATGGGGAAATAACCAGACATGTAGCAGGAACACAGAGGAAAATATTAAGGGAACAGTTCCAATCTTCAAGGACCCATTTACAGTCTGGACAGATCATCATTACAATATAATGGCTGTACTGTTATATGCCCTTCCTTTGTATTTAGATAATTCATTACTGATGTTTCCCTTTGTCCCTAATTTTGGGCTTCCCCAAAAAACATTTGGAATCCCAGCTTTCATAATAGCTTAACAGATGACTGCTCCTTGGTTTAATATAGAAGTTGACATGGACTATTTGTACAGATTTTCAGAGAACAAGCTGTGTATGGTTAAATTAAAGAAATCGCTTATACTTGTCAGATAAAGAAAATATTATGTACTCATTTCCAGGACCCAAGCAAACCATTCTAATGAATTTCACACACTCGTCTCTTTTTTTCCTGTATAAAATACTTTCCCCCCTGTCTTAATTCAGGGGAATTTTGAATTCTTGTAATTAAATCTTGTACAGTATGTAAGAAATTGTTGGCGTTGAAATGATATTACAGATGGCAACCTAGAATGAAAACCACTGTTTTAAAAAATTAAAATCACAAAACTCTAGCCAGGTTGAAATATTATGTAGCTTCTACAGCTTGAAATATTTCATTAGTTTTATACAAGGGTTTACATTTCAAGAAACTAATATTGTTAGACACTGTATGATTCTGTGATTGTGCTAAATCATATAATGGTGCAAAAAAAAGTTGTTAATGTTTAATTATACAGGTTGTCATTCATGGCAATTGGGTCTGGAATTTCTGTTGCTCAGTAATGTGGTTGTAAAGCATGATGTCAAATGCCTGCACTGCTTAACAACAGCAATTCTGGTTGCCGTCATAAACCCAGGACCATGTGGGTCGTTAAGTTAACATCTCATGAGAAGATGTGGGAGTTTCAGCTGGTGAGAGCTGCAGAGGACAGTTATGGGAAAATGAATGGGGGCTGGAAGCAGGGTCTATAGACATGGGCAGGTGCTACAGAGCATGAGCAATATAGGGTGCCATGGCCAGGGAGGTAGGTGCTGTGGGTTAGTGAGCAGGTGCCATGGGCAGATACTATGGAGTTCAGCTGTATTCACAAATGCTGTGGATGAGTGGATGGATGCTGGGGAATTGGGGTTGCCATGGATAGATACCATGGAACATGAGTCAGTGAGTAGGTAAGTGAAAAACTGGCAGAAGAAACTTATGATCTTTAATGTTGGTTTCCTCATTGATTTTGATTGTTGAAGCCAGCAGGGAAGGCTATAAATGGCAATCATGACTGCAGTTCATTGCAACAAATTGTGATCTTGTAAACATGGGAGGCTGCTACAGCTGTAACTTTGTAAATCAGTCATAAGTCCCCTCATTCAACTCTGTCATAATTTTCAACAGTTGCTAAGAATGAGTGGTCATAGTCTGAACACTATCTGTAATCCTCAGTTTACCCTCTTGTGATTGATGGCTGGAATTCTCATTTATGCTTTTCAAGAAAATCTGGGAAATTGAATGTCATAAAGACATAGGAAATCTGCTGAAAACAATATTACTTTCCTAGGAACTCAAAGGATGCGACTATTATGTTGTTGGGTACAGGGGATCCAGAGATGGTGGGTCAGAAAAGTTAGGCCAGAAGCTATGGTCCTATGATTGATGACCTATTTATATTTTACTGGTCTTGCATGTAAGATGCATGTAAAACAGAGTCTGGCATCGTTTGCATGATTGTACCTGCCATCTTGACTTTTTGAGTGCAAATGCTAATCATTTAGTAGGCTAAGTAGCAGCTGGAGATCATGCCAAAAGTAGAACCATTTTCAGCATCTAGAGATGTTGTTCACACACAATTATTGGGAGGTTCAGTTGAAAATGAGAAGATGAAACTAATTTATCTGCTTTTCACTCTCGCAAGCCACTGTTTGAGCATTGTATTCATGGCAATTAACTAGTTTATACCTTGAGTATAGTATGCTCCATATTGCTAAATTTCAATATAATAAGTGGGGTAATATATCAGAAACACTGTACAGATATTCAATATTCATATAACATGACTTCACAGGTGATAGCTAAGAACAAAACTGAGAAAAAGGCAAGACTGGAAAATTCTCCTGTAATGAACAGATACTTGTACATTGGGGCAGAGAAAATGATTTAAAAAGCATCATTTAAGCCAGAACTGACTATTAACACTTACAGTTTTATTATTTTATTTGAACAGGGTCTAGATGGCCCTTCTGGCCCCAAAGGACCTAGAGGACCTCAGGTGAGTTTCTTAAATTCTATCAAACATTTCATTATCATTTGTATTAAAAAATAATATTTTGTTCTAATTCTCTGGGCTAAACTACCCATCATACTGAATATGCACCTATCTTCTGTTTTCTTTACATAAGCAATGGTTCAGGGGTAATTTGGGCTTGGGCAAAATATATTAGAAAGAAGTGTGAGGTTAATAAAAATGCTTTCATTAAACTATTGGGAATACTGTTGTATCCCATCTCACATAACGGGTCCGCAACCCCTAGGCCTTGGACTGGTCCCGATCCATGGTCTGTTAGGAACCAGGCTGCACAAGCAATGGGTGAGCGAGCAAACCTTCATCTGCATATGTGTGGGATCTAGGTTGCATGCAAAGCCATCTCCCCCCCACCCCCCCAATCCATGGAAAAATTGTCTTTCACCAAACCAGTCCCTGGTGCTAGAAAAATTGGAGACAACTATCATATAAGATCTGGGAACTGATCTCCTTATATGCTCTTATAAACCATCAGGCATCTCACATTTCTAATTAAGAAAAAAGCAGGTAATCATTTCAGTTATTTACCTTTTAAAAAGAATTTTGAAAATGTTATCATTTCTTGGCTTTTAACGATTCTATTCTGCCTTTATCATATAAAACTGCATTTGCTTTTTAAGTTTACATTTTCTTATTTTCTCTTATGTTAATTTGATTCATCTTTAAAAAAACAAGCTGATTTTTGTTAATAATTTCATGATAGATTATTGATAGTTTCATGAAGCTGACACTGATATTTTTATATTGTAAATTAAATTATACTGGTATCAGTAGATACCATTCTGCCACATTGGATTAAATAGGTAAACACAATTGGGAAAAGATGGTCCACCAGGTAACTTGGTCCCAAGCCATGGAGGGCTTTAAAGATGACAATCAGCAACTTGAATTGCATTTAGAAACACAGCGGCAAACAGTGCAAGTCACAAAGTGTTACATGTGCCAGGTAACCAATACATTTACTCCAGCAGCTGAAGCTTCTAAATGTTCTTCAAGGACAGCCCCATGCATTGCAGTATGGGAGGACTGCAGATGGGAGGACATGTGGGCATGCGTGACAAGGAGCAGAGCTTCCTGATCCAGGAATGGGCACAACTAGTGCATCACCCAAAGGGTGCAAAGGTCCTCTTAGCCATGGTTACCACCTATATTAACTATTACATCATTTGGCAGAGAACTATTATAAACCTGCAAGTGGTACTCTTAAGGTACTGTAATAGAGAACACATCAAACTTCTCAAGAGCCAAAAGGTTCTGGTTTCTTATGTCAGTTTAAATGTTAAAATGCAGCAAACCTTTTGGAGAATGAATGTGAAGCAATCTTTTTTTATAATCATTTTTTTATTAAACATTAAAGTTCAAACTCCAAAAAAAATACAAAAACAAAGCAAAATGAGACAAAACTACACCAAAAAAGTGCATTAAAAAACCCCAGACATATACATAAATTGTTCCTCCTGGTTGAATACTGCTAAATATATTTCGGAGATAATAAACTCCTCATCCCTTGTAAAGCAGCCACCCAATTTATAAATTTGTACAATACTGTTTACCCAAGCCACTTAACCTGAAGATCTACTATATGGAAGCATACTTAACAGGTTAAAATATGAAGCAATCCTAATACTAAATAACAAATAAGAAACCTTGCTGAAAGCAAATAGCATGGCTTTTACAAAAGACATTTAGAAATTATTTGAAACATGACAATAATTTGCCTTTATATAATCTTAAAATTGTTATAAAAATGAAATTTTTAAAAATTCTTGTTTGGCTTGAGTTTCATGGAGGTATCTGACTAATGTTCCCAGATGCTTGAACGCTGGGTGCATTCCAATATCATAGCATAAGACTTTTTTTGTTCGAGAAACTCAAATAACTGAGAGCACTGTAATGTTGCCTTCTTAAATATGCACAGATTTTTGTCTCTGCTTTTATTTTTAATAGCTATCAATCTCTGAATTGTCATTTATTCATATTCAGTATTCTGTTGTACAGTCCTTAGCTTGAAGTAATACTGTGAGAACATTTTTGTCTTCTCGGTGGAATTGCTAGCTTCTGTCCCTGCCAATTCTTTAGCCTTTAGTAGAAAAAGTATCTAGCATTTCTCCATATTTATTCTTCTCTGTTTAAGATAGATTCCCATGGTAGAGAGTTGTATTGCTACTGAACATCCCTAGTTGATTTGGAGTTTACTTTTTGGATGTTTTGGATTTCAAAACCCTCCAGTTCAACGAACCATACCAGATGGAACAAGACTGGAGAAGCCTATAATTCTAAGGCAGTTTTTCTAGATTGTCATCCTAGCATTTTTGACCATGGCCTCTAGGCTCATGCCTTTGTTGCTTTGAAATACCAAACAGTGTGGTCTTTTTTGGTGATTTTTTGTGGGATTTGAATATAAGAGCATGATATTTCCAAATAAAATTCCCAATCCTATTTTATATTATTATTTGAAAATTGTGTAATTGCAATTCTGAAATTTTGTTGCTGAATATTGGTGATTTGACCATATGACAGTGTGACCAGTGGATCCTGTCTCTTGGTCTTGTTCAGTGTTTTTCAAACTTGGCAATTTTAAGGTGTGTGGGCTTTAGCTTCCAGGCTTCCCCAGGACAAGCATGTTGATGCCCATACAATTTAAAGTTGCCACGTTTGAAAACACTACTATAATAATTCCAGAGAAACAGTGAAATGACTCATTGGTTGTGTTATAAGTTGAGTGCTGTGGGTTAGCAATTTCTATATGTGAGTAATAACTTTTGAACGACTACTGCTCGTATTGTTTTGAGGGAGCTGTAGCTGTCAGAGTTTGTTCATAAAGAATAATTATATGTAGGCCTGCATATACTGCTTCTATTTCTTATCACTACAGTGTAGTAGGTTGGTAATTACTTTCCAGATCTAATGATTTTTTTCATCATTACAGTTGGAAGAAAAGTCCCTTATGACCATTTCCTTGGTTTTTCAGAGGCCTATTTATTACTTCTGATTCCCAGCAATGGCATTTATTTTTTAGTAAATTGCTTTTGATCTGTGTTTTTCAAATTTGGCAGCCTTAAGAGATGGATTTCATGCATCCTGCTGGGCAATTCTGGGAGTTAAAATTCACACATCATAAAATTGCCATGTTTGAAAAACATTGTCTCGCATCTTTATTCTCTCTATAGTTAAACAAGAAATTAAATGTATATTTGTAGCCAGGTCTTTAAATTTTAATAATTTTAGTATTGTCAATTTTTTATATTTTGTTTCTTAATATTACACATACCAGTGCATAATTTGTAGTATTTGTGCACTTACATATAGTGTTTGTGTTTGATCGTTCTCAATGAAAAAACAGTATATAAGTCATCTATTCTATATACAGTTAATAAAAGAGAAAGATGGTCTTACATTGAGAAAATAAATTATCTTTTTAAAGCATTTTCTATACATGTCTGCAACACTCACTTCATTTTTTTCACTCTTTCATAAACTGGATCTTTATGCTTAATGAAAATCCATCAGAATGTGGTTGTAAGGTGTGACTTAATAACTAAATATAAGAGGAAAAGCAGATGCTGAAAATGCATCATTACTTCATAGAAATGCTTCCTGTGTAATAGTTGGCTTTTAGTACTATTTTTATCACAAATGTTTCCTCTATATCATATATTTCTTTATATGACTTTAATCACTTGAAAAATAATAGAATTTAAGCAATTGTTTCAAATGACTAACATGGGGTTATGCAGTATGTCATACATATATATGTTTGTGATTAATCTTTGTATGCTGCCCAGAGTCACTTATGTAAAGGGACAGTTAATGTAAATCCTATAAATAAATATAATTCAGACAGGAGAAGTAAAACAATAGAACAAAATCTCTTTTGTAATAAAAATCATTCTGCACTTTGTTTATTTCAAGACTTTATGTTTGTTTGCTGGTTGCTTTTGTTGCTGTTATTGAGACTATGTACTAAATTCCATCTAGGATATCTAAGAAAAATACAACTTCTGATGAGCAAAGCATGATTCATAAATGTAATAATAAATATATGTCAATAGGTAGAAAATTTAATTCTCCCCCCCTTTTTATTTTGCTAAAGGGTATTAGTGGTCCATCAGGTGAACCTGGCCCAAAAGGCATTCAAGGAAACAAGGTAAGAGCCATATCATATATCATTTTACAAACACGGTAATACACTAATCATGTCCTTTTCCAAGATATTCTACCACCACTTCTACCACAATTCATAATTTTCTTTTTTTTTTTTCAAAAGGGTTACTTAATGTTCTCTGATCAATGGAATAGTTTATGAGCTCCCCCCAATTAATGTTAATTTGGTTGATATATCACATGTAAAACTTCAAGAAATGTTTAGATAATAGAAAAATTGGGGGGAAGATTTTTTTTTTTTGAAAATAGAAATTTTGAGAGTGTTGGCATAACTATCTTATGTTTTCTACACTTTTGCAGAAACAAATAGTTAGACGGGGAGACAGAACATAATTGCCCAGACAAATGCACTTAAATAATATCCAGGATTTCCAGATACAGGTGGTCCTCGACTTACAACCAAAATTGAGCCCAAAATTTCTGTTGCTAAGTGAAACACTTGTTAAATGTTAATTTTGCCCAGTTTTACAACTTTTCTTGCAACAGTTAAGTAAATCACTGAAATTGTTAAATTACTAACATGGTTTTTAAGTGAATCTGGCTTCCCCATTGACTTTGCTTAGAAGGTCACAAAAGGTGATCATGTGACCCTGGAACACTGCAATCATCATAAATATGAGTCAGTTTCCAAGCATCTGAATTTTGTTCATGTGACCATGGGGATGCTGCAACAGTCATAAGTAAGTAGATAGATAGATAGATAGATAGATAGATAGATAGATAGATAGATAGACAGACAGACAGACAGACAGACAGACAGACAGACAGACAGACAGACAGATATAGATAACCTTTATTGTCATTTTTTTTTACCGTGGGCACAGTGGCACACATTAAAATGAAATTTAGTTGCTTGCTCTCAAAGTGTACACATATGTAGCACACATTTAAACATACTACAGTATATACAACATATGTATAGTTCTACACCCTTACATATAAGTAACATATAAATATTAATCACTGTCCATCTTGAGCACATAACGGAAGGAGAAAGCTTTAGAGTTCACAAGATTAATACTGTATGGAACAAAACTGTGACTGAATGAACTGTTGTAATCCGAGGACTACCTGTACACCCAAATCCCAGGCAGGGAAACATAGTCAGTTCTTAAATGATTTCCAGAATATTTGAAGAGTGGAATCTGTACATATCTCTATGAAGATGCTGTTCCAGACGCTATGACAGAAAGGCATACTTCCTTGATCCCATAAGGGGACACGGCCAAGAGCACACCTACTCTGTCTAATTATATGGAAGAGACAGAAATAATAGGAACTAATTCTGCTTTTGCAATACTTTTTTCAATATCTCAGTTTAAAATGGAAATGAGATGTAAAAGTGTAGGTATGTTGCTTGCAGAGGGGAAAACATTCCTGGACATAGTTTTCAAGTTAAAATGTTATGGAAGGTTGTTACATCAAATTAATTTGGAGCAAGAAAACTGCAGACATAGCTCTTTTTCCTTTTCCCAGTCTTTTATTTCTAGTACACATTTATATCAATATTATCCTTGATACTTTTCACATCAATTCAAGTACTGAATATCAACATGTTTATAAATATGGTGCTAATACTCCTGTTTTGCATTTTGATTGTTAAATTACTGTGCTCATAATGAATGCAGTTTCTATTGCAGTATATGTGGGTGTGCCTGATGTGAAATATCTTGACCTTATTTCTGAGGGAACCAGAACATTTGAGGACACAGAGAAATGGTTTACTTTAGGCAGACCACATTTGTGACAGTAAAGATTTTGGAATTTTGGTCTTTCTTCTGCTTTTTCCTTGCGTTGATTATTTTTATCCTCGGCTGGTCATCTTTTCTATAGATCACTTCTATTATTTCAGCAAACAAATAAATAAGCAAATGGTTATGAGGATAAATGCCATGCATTAATGAATCTAGAGCTTTTAAATCGAATGGGTTGGATTCAGCTGGGGGCACTTGCAACTGTGCTAATTGTAGTACAAGCCCTTTTTCTTCATGATAGGCCCTCAGCTTTCTTTTCTATGCATAGATCATGAAACTACAGCCCAGACAGAACATAACAAAACAGATTGGCTCTAAGTTGACAAAAGGATAACAAAAAGTTGTATATTGTTTCCATATTTATTCAACCTATATACTGAACATATATTGAAGGAGGCTGAATTGGAAGAAGATGAGGGCGGATTTAAAACTGGAGGAAGAAACTTTAATTGTTGTGCTGGGTTGCAAATGTGAATAATAAGTTCTAGTAATATAGGAGCGCTGTAAAAAATGGATGATTAAAATTAAATATAAAAACCCACTAAACCAATGTTGAGCAACTAGGTAAGAATGGATAATGAAAACACTGAAGTGGTGGATAGTTTCTATTTTTTAGGATTTAACACGAAGAGAAAAGAATTCAGTAGTCGAAAATAAGTGCAATACAATAGCAATGAAGGAAGGCCTTGAAAAATATATTGATATGACATAATGTGTCTATACTTACAAAGATTAGAACTATTTGGACGATGGTTTTTGCTATAGTTTCTATGGATGAGAAAGTTGGACTTTGAATAAGCAGGATTGAACAACTATTCATGCGTCTACTTTCTGGTATTAAAGAAGACTCCTGAGAATCTAATGAATAGCCAAGAAAACTAATGAATAGATCATCTGAGTCAACTTCTGTCCAGTAGCACAATATTATTAAGGTATGGAGAGATTGCCATCTTTGAGCAGATTAATTTTATCCTGAAACATTTGATTTAGAAGACTGGCAATGTTAAACTTAAGGTACATTACTTGGGCAGTAGGGAGACTGTATAAAGAGCTGTGATGGTGCATTGATTAGAATGCAGTTGCATGCTAATTCTGCCGACTGCCAGCAGTTCTATCCTGACTGGTCAAGGTTGACTCAGTCTTCCATCCTTCACAGGCTGGTAAAATGAAGACCCAGATTGTTGGGGGCAATGTGCTGACTCTGTAAACTGCTTAGAGAGAGCTGTTAAGCACTATGAAGCTGTATATAAGTCTAAGTGCTATTGTTATTGTTATCAATTACTCTGTTCAGTAAGTAGCAAGTGAACTTTCTAGCATGGCAAATAAATTTCGTTCTAATGGAAAAAGAAAATGATGCCTAATTGATCCTCATTCTTAACCAAGATTTTGCAAGGCTGTATATTTGAAGATCTCCATTGATTACTTTTTAGATTTGCAAATATATAAAGCTATAAAAGCCATCAATATTAAATAGTTATATTTCAGTATTCTTTAAATTTCTGATAAATGAATTCCTTACTCAGGAAGAAATTATCAAGTAAAGTGAACCATTGTTTACAGTTAATAATTACCCATTCAACTTGAAAAGGTCAGTGCCGTTTTCATGTCAGTACGATGGCTGACACAAATTTTGTTATCTTTATAGAAAGATCGTTCAACTATTCTTTTTAACTTTCCAGACACTTATGAATGAATTCTAAGTCTAGTAGTTATTTATATGATGAGTACTCTTTCCAAGTATATAAATAATAAGTCTGTTCTCAAGATAATGCCAATGAGTGGAACAATTCACTTGCTATAGAAGGGCTTTCTCCAAGAGAATACTTAATTATTGGAGAATCGCAGAAGAAGATCTAGATGGTTTTTTCAACTACAGAACAAATATGGCACACACTTGGAACTGCCTGTGCTCAGATCTTCTGTTGATACATTCTTGTGCTATATAGAAATAGCTATTTTATTATATATGTGGATTGTTGAAAAGCCAATCGGTCACAAGATGGATTGATAGTTCCTGATATTCTCTTTGAATCACAGTCAGGAAAATTGATAGTTCATAGAGCAAAGCCTTATGACCAATTCAGATATTTTTTTCTACACTATCTTGCATAATTTGCATGCTTCAACATTATTAATGTAGTTATGAAATGTGCTTTCTTTCTCCCAGCTTTGATATTTTCATTGTTGTTGAAGCTTTTTTATACATGTTATTGATTGCTTTAGATTTTTAATAATAATTTTAATACTTTTTAAAGAAACTTTTACACAATGTTGTTGTCATTAGAGATGTTTTTGAGCAGATACAGTTAGAAGGCATTTTATTGACAAAAGCTGACGTTGTAAGAATAGAGAAAATTCATAGCTCATTCCTTTTCAAACAAAGAGTCCTGTGTACGAGCAATGTTGTTTTCATGTAAAACAATTATTATTCATTATTAAATGAAGTGAAGACACCTTGTCTAAATTCATGGTAAAATGGTAAAATGGTAGAAATACTAGGTTACAGAGACCATGTTTTTAATGAGTTGGTATAAAACAGTGCTCTATGACTTAACACTCAAAATAGACTATCCATAGTTAGTGATCAAATAATGAAACTTAATATCCATATTTAAGAAACTTCTAGTAAGAGTGTCATACAGTTGCTTTTTAAAAAGGCAGCTGGACTTTCTTTGTTTTTCCTTGAAGACGTTTTCCTTCTCATCCAAGAAGCTTCTTCAGTTCTTGGATCCATTCTTCAGAACTGAAAAAGCTTTTTGTATGAGAAGCAAAACAACTTCAAGGAAAAACAAAGAAAGTTGTCTTTTGAAAAGCACCTTTGGGACAACCATGACATGGATGACTGAGAATCTCCATAGACATTCTACTCAGGCTGGTAATTAAGGGCATACCTCTGCAAGAAATACAAAAGTGCTTTTCTTAAAAAAAATTATATTAAATGCTCTGTAGTTTTTTTTAATATAGTTTCTTGAAAGGATGACCACTTTGCAGGTAAAAAAATCAGATTTAGTGTTAACTTAGAGATTTCAAGAACAGATCTATTCAAATGGCCTATTTTTAATATTCTATGAATTATTGGCTGAAAAGAATCAACATGTAGATTGTGCCAAAATATATGCCTGCTTATCTTTATTTTATAATTCCACTACTTAGGAATTCTGATTCTATTATTTAGATTAAGCAAACGGCAATTTTAAAAAGGCTATGTTGCTAAGGTGTTTCTCTTTCCCTTTTATCTAAGCATTGCTATGTTACCAAAATGTGTGCAGATGGCCACTGAACCTTGGTTGGCAGCAATCAGAGTAAGGAGAAATTAGTCATTATTTGAGTGCATGGGGATAAATAGACCCGCATATAAACATTTGTACATAGTCAAATGTTTTGAACTTAAAACTACATTTTGAGTTAGAAGCATATTTCAAGTTTCAATAGGTGAACAGCTAGTTGACATGAATCTGAAACAGGATCTTAAAACTCAAATGCATGCATGCTTAAATTAGCAGGGTTTCATAGGGAGATTTCTTAATTTTGATAACAATTTATAATCCCATCTTTATGATTTGTAAACTTTTGATTTCATTTAATTTGATTGTTAATTGATTGGTTATGTGCTATCAAGTCATTTTCAAATCCTACTGACCAAATGGAGAAGACTTGAAAGAACAGGTAAGGACACATCAACATGGAGAAATGTGTTCCATGTTGATGTGTCTCTTACCTGTTCTTTCAGGTCTTCCAATGGTGGACTTGCTGTTGGTTGTACTTTTTTCTTTTGTTTCATTTTTCCCAGCCTTACAACCTTTTCCAGAGAACTATGGTTTATAACTTAATATTATAAGTGATTTATCTTTTATAGATAATAAATGATTTTGTCCATAATGACCATATCATTGCTGAAGGAAATAATGCTTTGTCTGGTCACAAAGGAATGAATGATTTGTTTTCATGTATCCCAATATATATGTTTTTTCATCTGTATATCAACTGAACATATGAAACTGATTGCAAAAATATATCTACTCAACAACATTAGATGTTTTAAAATTGGATTTAATTACCATATTTTAACAAAATACTATACTTGATGTTTCTGTTGCCTTTAAAATTATACGCTTCTTTATAGGAATTCTATCAGCATAGAAATTTCACCAAGATAATTAGAGGAAAGTAGACACATATTAGCATTGTTATTGTTGGCTTTTTTTATTCCATGCTGATGGGAAAAGTGATTTTTTTTTGTTGATAATTAACATCAAAGGATTAACTTTTATCCACTCAAGGAATTATGGGGGACAGATTTGTAATAAGTTCATATTATTTTAAGAAAATATACAGAATAAAACTGATGGAAAATATTGAAGTATATTCTAGCTTGAAAGAAAGTATTTTAAAGGATGCAATCCTATGCTGAAATTTAACTGATTCCACTACAATGGTTTCTGGAAAAATTCTTCTGCATGCTGGTAGAACGTTAGGATGTCTGTTATAAAAAATAATGAGGTTTGTATTTGCTCACAGTGTACACCATTGCCCTGAAACCAAATGCAAATGTTATTATTAATCCTTAGATTACAACACTAACTATACTATCCTTAAATATAGTTGCAAGAGAAACAATTTGGTTTAGTGGTTAAGGCATCAGATTAGAAACTAGGAGATTGTGAATTCTAGTTCTGCCTTAGACTTGAAGCCAGCTGTGTGATCTTGGACCAGTTCCTTTCTCTCAGACTTAGGAAGCAGGCAGTAGCAAACCACTTCCAGAAATCAATCATAACTTGAAGATGTGTGTGCATATGCATGTGTGCATAAACATATATTTCCACTTACTTTCAAATAAACAGATAGAAATTGTTTCTCTATTTTGACTCATTTACTTCAAAGGAGAAATCAAAGGGATGCTTAAATTGTTCTTACTGAGAACAATGAAAGAAATGAGTTTTATTCTAACTGGATTTTGTTTTATTTTTGAGAACTTAATTTATTGCAGATAAATGGGCATTTTTATGAAATTAGCATGTTCTCTTTATAAATTTAGTCTCTTCAAAGGTGGAAAATTTGTTTTCAAATATTCTCATCCATTCATGGTTGTTGATTTGCTTGCTGTTACAGTTTCTGTTGTTTTTGCTTCTATTCCTTCTTAAAGCTTTAATAAAGGCTCTTTGTCCCAATTAATTGCTCCATGGAAAATAAACATATAACTGAAAATTCATGCTTAGAAACAATCCTTGGGAAAGGAAGTATTTCCTGGAATGGGAAGATAGTAATATGTCAGACCACCTGGTATTATTCAGTGAAGTTCACGAAAAAGAACTAGAAGAAGCAGTAGGGAGAAAGCTTTGAGACATTAAGAACAGAGCTTTAATTAATTGATCTCCCTAAAAACAGATACTGTGCTATCAACACAACACTAATAAAAGGATAAGGATATGGCCGAAAGGGATATGGCAAAATAAAACTAATATATTGTTCAGAGACAATTCTGCCACCAAACTGGATTCACAAATCACCCTAAATGTGGGAGGAAAAAAAAAAAATCCTTCACTTAACATATGAGAACCATAAATTTTTACAATTGAAAATGATCATTGCAGCTTAACATACATTACATTGTTTTTTCACATCAGGTTTTGTATGCTATAGTGCTTGCTATATGTATTCTATCATATCATATATGTATAAATAAACACATATCATAGGAAAGACATACATATATATGATATGTAGATCCAAAGTTATCAGCAGTACTGTTCTTGATCTGCAAAAGTTAAGCTTCAAACCTTGCCAAGATTGTTACCAAATATGGTACAGCTTTGAAATTTCTGTAGATTTTAAGCTTACAAAAATAGCAGATAATGTCCCCATTTGTTGTTTATAGTGGGAAAAGGATTAGAAGTCAGTAGGTTTAATGTATGGAGAGAAGAAATATGTAATGATAGGAATACCAATAAAATCTGGATCTAGAATGCAAATTGATTTTTACATCCTTTCTACACTACTTTATTGCATTAAATTAAGAAGAAACAATATTGTATAGTATATATTTATTTGTTTCATCTGTGTATATGTGTGTGTGTTTATTTTTTTTTTCATTTCCTTGTTTTCTTTTTTCTTTTTAGTATTTTTCTCCCTTAGATTTTTTAGTGTTTCTTTTTTCTTTTACTTATGTTTATATTATAGATTTTATATCATAAATACAGTTTTTTTCTTTGAGATATACATTTTCTACAATAACAATATCCTGGATAATAATTTTACATATGATATATAGTAATAATGAATGTTTTAAAAAACAATTTAAAAAACTCAGAAGAGCAGGAATTTGCTGATAAATATATATGGGTGATTTGTTATAAGACTTGTAATCAACAGCATGTACAAAGTGGTGCTTTTGTCTATATCACGGATGTCAAACTGCAGACCCACAGGCCGGATGCATCATAGCAAAACCGCACCCACCCCATTGCCGACAATGGCAAAAAAAGTCGTGATACATTACGACACGTCACTTGATGTTGTGAGTTTGACACCCCTGGTCTATATAGGTCAGGCAGTTAGAAAGCATTAGATTTCTCTTTATCCTTCTTTAAGAAAAGAAAGATGGAAGAAGCTTTATTGGCAGATGCAAATAAATGCAAAATATCATTTAGGCTAATCTCCCAGAATAATTATTCAACTGAAAATTTCATCTGGAAGCACGTGGAAAGCAATTTTCAGTATGTGTCACCTTATAATTTTTTTTTCCTCTAGCAGGGCAAACATTAAAAATAAATGCAGAAAATATCTTATTAAAGATAGGAACAGAAGAATTAATAGAATGATTTATGGAGTAAACCATTATTTGTGAAAAAAATGTTGAGTTTTAATATTCTGACTGGCCACATGCTTGTAGTTCCAAAGGCCCTGAATTTGTAATTCCAAGGGCCCCTTACGTTGATACTGATGGATTATAATATCTCTTAGCTGTTTTTTTGTATTAAATTTCTCTTTTGTGTTGTGTTTTAACTATTTTAATTGTTTTATGATTGTTTGCCATCCAGAGTCACTGGTTTAAACTGGTCAACTATACAAACTGAATGAATGAATTAATTTAATTAATTAATTTGCCTGAAGTTTTAATCAGGATCCATTCATAAAGGATCAAGTTAGCATTGTTGCAAATCTGGGGTACACAAAATCCAAAAGTAATTTCTTACCATTTATTTTTCCATGATACAAAGAAGTAATAACTAATTTTTTACCCATTTTAAGGGAGAACCAGGACCAGCAGGTCCTTATGGTCCTGCAGGAATCCCCGGAATTGGATATCCAGGACCTAAGGTAATACACATCAAGTCTATTGCACTACTTCAATCATGCAGATAGACTGCAGCTCTATAGACTGCAGATAGGACAATTTATATATTATTGCCTTGTATGGATAGGCAAATGGAGCCCTTTTTAGCCATTCATTGATTTACATTTCTACTTTTTAATCACATATTGATTTGCTTTCTCACCTTTTGAATACAGGAAAATTAAGTATAACAGTGAAAATAGGCCTGACAAAAAGAAAGAAAACAACCCAGAAAGTTCTAATCTTGCCATTTAGTATCATCAGCACTGTGGTTCTAACAAAAGCTAAATTGTGGTTCTAATAAGCTAAATTTGTCCCTGGCCATCCAAAGGAGGTGTCCTTGTCATTTCTTCAGAATAAAAGGAAGAGACTGAAACATCTCTTTGACCTGAACAATGAGCTAGGATGTGTCTCTTCATGTGCAATCAAAAAGCCAGTGGCCAGAGTTCCATTTTGTTGGCAAGGAAAAACATCAATGATGTCTTTCTCACAAGTTAATGTATCTAAGGTGTAAAGCCAGCCAAATTATTTCAGAATATGACAAAGCAATCTTGCAAGTACATATCTTGTTGGTTCATTGTTTGATAGCTAAAATGTAATAATAGCAACTTGTTCCTTATCCAATGTACTAAAACCTTTCATGCCAATTAAAATGTGATGTCTGTGATAGCTCTCTCACAGTTCCTAAGAATAGGAGAAGACTGATGGGAGGATGTAAGCAAGAATCCATCTTGTATTGCAGCCATGATGGCCCAGATAAAGAATTAATATAAGAATTTTGGGGGTGGAGGATTTTGACATTTAGACATTGATGAATGTCTAGAAAAAAAAGTTACTTCTCTGAGAAGTTTTGCATTCTAAGAATTTCAACAAGGCCTTATAATGAAGTCCAATTTGTTTATATTACTTTCTTTACTTATTATGATGAATCATTATGCTAAAGCTTCTGTGTCTGCAGCTGGTAGGATTTGGGGTTTTTTGATAGAAAATGCACAACACACAGTGGTAATCTGTGCTATTTTTATTTTATTCAGCACTAACATCTAATGGAATAATATTTGTATAAATAGTGATACAGAAAGTCATAAAAGTGAAATGTTATGATGGATGGATCAAAGTTTAGCTTAAATGCTAAAGAAATAGTTGTGATCAATTAAGGCATAACAATGGCATAAAGGCATAAACCTATTTTGATGGTAAACATCATCAAGTTGATACTATGCATCTTTTATTCATAAGAAAATTATATTTTTCACTTACATATATTCTAATATAGTACATAACCTGTGGCTTATAATATATTTCATATTAACTCTGTCCATTAATTCTAGCAATTTTTTTAGTTATGATATATTTTTATTTGAAGAAGTAAATTAAAAGTGTGACTTTATTATACTTTCCATTCTGGTCCCTATACTTTCCATTCTGGTCCCTATACTTTCCATTCTGGTCATCTGCAGTCATCCAACCATGACTAATCTATCAGAACATTGTCATGGGCCTTAATAGCTAGATGATGCAATAAATGACTAGTAGAGAAATTGTCTTGGAAAATCTGTATGGAGCAATAACAAGTGTCATTTTAAAAATTATTTTACAAGGGTGATAGAGGTCAAGAAGGAAGAATTGGGTTTCCAGGACCAACTGGAATTGGTGAGCCAGGCTTAACAGTAAGTAAATTTGTAAATATTTTTTCTAGAATTATAATTACATTTTTATGTTTTGTAATTGTTAAAGTAAGTTTTGAGATAGCAATGAATTCTGAGAGGCAGCTTAAACTAATTGTGATTAATAGCTAATTAATAAATATAATATCCAGTAGCATTCTCGGGTTCTGAAACATCTAAAATATTAAAGCAACTTGTTAAATCCTTTAAAACTAAAAAACCTATAAAAAAAACTGGATATGCAGATGTTAAGCCTTGAGTGCAATAAAAAATGAGAGGTTCCTGTATTGTCTAGACCAGCAGTGCCCAACCTTTTGGGCTCTGCAGACTGGCAGTGGAGCGGAGATGGGAGAGAGGGAATGGTTTCACAATCTAATCCTCTGCATGCGTAAATAAAACTTCATGTGCCTCCTCACTGCTTGCACAATCTAATCCTGCGTGGCTCCTGTTTCCAATGGTATCAATCTGCGGTCCAGCAGTTGGGACCCCTGCCTAAACAACGGGAGAGTATCTTAACTTCTATAGCAAGTCTCAATTGATCTCAAATTGCAACTTAAATAACAAAAATTAATGTTTATAATTTATAAATATGTATAATTTATTGGGGACCGAGATTGTTGGGGGCAATATCCTAACACTGTAAACCATTTAGAGAGGGTTGTAAAGCACTATGAAGCAGTATATAAGTCTAAGGGCTATTGCTATTGCGCTATATTATGTTTGAATAAAAAGAGACTGTCAAAAACAACAATTCACTGAAGACGTAATAATATTTATACTTCTTTAAAACATGTTTCTACAATGTTGCTTTGCTACACTTACCAAGTCTGGAGGTGGGATTAGCAAATTGTATAAATATGATTATGAGATAGAAGCTAAAACATTTTCAGAGAATGGATATGGACTTTGACAACCAAACAACACTGATTGATTTTCTGTGCCTTTACTAGGGCTAAAAGGCTGATATTGCATATATTGCAGCTCTGGAAAAATAAGTATATGGCTCCATTTATTCCATGGGTTGAAGACCTTATTGCACTTGCCTTTTATGAACAGATTGCCTATAGACATAGACTTTATATAGACATGTATAATGAAATATGGGAGTCATTTATGCAGAATACAGTAGATTGTTTTTAAAAGATACTTGTATAAATTATTAGAAATACTGTTTGTGTGTATGTATTTGATTAATATTTGCATTAGACAAGTATATATAGAATTGTAACTTTTATTGTTATAATGATGCACAAGTATCATAATTGTGGTTTTTTTCTTTGTCATATTTCTTTCATTTTTTGTTAAACACTTTTTATGTGTTATTTTTAAAAATAATAATTAAAGTATATTAATAATAATACATGTAGTACTACAATAGTGAATGATGTGTTCTGTCTGGCAATCTTACAATAATTAACTTTGACATGTAAATAGCAATTTTACTGTTTTCCCTTTTATCTTCAATGGGAGTGAGCAACTTGTTTGGTCTGGTAAGTGCATTTGGCATTTTGAGAACATGTTCCAAAAATCTTGCCTAATAAATTATGATACCAGATGCTTGATCAAATATGCAATCTTAAAGTTTTGAAATATCGAAAGAACAACTTTGATACTTTAAAACTTTGTTAATGCTTTATTATGATTCTATTCCATATTGATTGCGATTATTTTGGTATGCCTGATCTAATCTTATGCAGATTTGTTCTTTGTGAAGATTTTTAATGCTGGTATAGTATTGTTTTTATAGTATTAATTTAGTTTTAAATGATGGATACTATGGAAAAAACTCCTGTTGGGTAGCCTAAAAATGCTATTTATCAAAAAGACAATGAAAATAAACAGTATGCTTGAAGTTAAGCTAATTGTATACTTTGCAGCAAAGGAATCTAAATTAAGTAAAAATCAAAGTCTTCAGTGAGGGTTTTTTAGTGTCATGGGAATATTCCACAACATTGAGGAAGGCGGTCTATATAGAGAGAATAGTGTGTACATGAGAGCTGTATCATCTATTCACAAGATTTTTTTTCTTTGAAATTCAGGGGCCACGTGGTCCTGAGGGATTGCAGGGTGAAAGAGGTCCACCTGGGGAAGGACTCCCAGGACGGAAGGTAAATATTCTATCTAAAACAAATAGACTTCCAACTAGACAGAGTGATTATTTCTTGTTTGTTTTAATTATTTCTTTCTAGGAATTTGTTCACAGGCAATGTCTTCTTGCCACTAGGTTTTTCAACTTTAAAACATTTCTTTGTCCCCTGAAATGCAAGAAAACATGTTCCTCCTTTTCATTTTCTAGACAGCATGAGTATGACAATTCTTCAGTCTGATGGAAGCTTTATTACATTTTGTTGAGTAAAGTTCAGTAAAGACACAGGGCTTCCTAAAGGTATAAAAATGATGCACGGAACAAGTAATTAGGGATACGTTTTTCAGCTTTATGCATATTTTTAGAAATCAGTTCACCTATTTAAGTGAATAACAGCGGGCTTAAACAGATAAAGGGAATTTCTGCAAGTAATGTATACTTAAATGTTTGTTTTCCATAAAACATAGTGATGACCAAAAACTAAACCTGAATGGCTCTAAAAAGTACTGAAAGTAGTTCAGGAGCTATGCTAAAATACTTTTTCAAGTAACCAGCCTGATGCCTACAAAGAGTTAGACAATAGTGCCTTTGCACTCAAGTTTTTCAGCGGAAATTCAGAGGAATGGGTTTTCTCATAGCAGATTTGTGGCATTATTTTTCCAATGTCTACCTTGCAATTTCTCAGTTTTTATCAATGGTGAAGAAGGTTTTTATTTTTTTTTACTTTAGTGTTTAAGGATTTCTCTTGGGCTGTTTTGTGCCTATTTTAGTGTGAGAAGGGCAACAGAGGGTGCCACTCAGAGGTTTCTGTGCTAAGGGTCGAGCAAGTCTAAATGGTGAGCATAATTGTGGGTCAAAGCCCCTACCCTTTTGTACATATGCCAGCATAGTATATATGTACAGGTCATCTATCTTCAGTTCAAACCATCATTTTGGGCTCTCTTGGCCCACCCATTGCAAATGCACATGGAACTGCTACTGGTATTGTTATTTTCTGTTGTATATCTATCTATTACTCTAAAACCTCCCTGGATCCCTAAGCCTTTCTATTCGAAAGAAGTTCAGAAGGAATGGTTTTCCCATATTTCTTTAAAATTTAATGGATGCTAGGAGACTGCAGGTCACTTGAGCTTTTACAATGAAAATACGGGATTCTGTAATTAAATAAGAATCCCCTACTGCTCTCTATCCATGCTGGTATCACTGATCATCTTCATAGGAAGAAAACAGACCAGCAAATTCATTCACATCATATTGAGTGACAATTGACAGGAAAAAATGTGTATGTTTTCTGCATAGTACCATAATTAGTAATCATTTAAAGTCTTTTCCAGTGAGACCAACAAACATTTCTATCCTGAGCATCCCTAGCTTTCTTATGTTTTCCCAGACTTTTTGTTTCATTCGACCTTGAATTTGAATGATGGGACCCAAGGAATGTTATAATGAATCTCCATGGACATTTATGTTCTTATGGAGCATTACCAGCTTTTGGAAGTAAAATATGTGGAGCTACTAAGTAACAAAGAAGTTTAAAAATATAAAAACAATGATTTAATTGTGGGAATTAAAGCAATATTTATTTCCTCTTCCCACATGTATCCTGTACTGACCAATATACACTGGAAGATTCATGACCTCCTGCTGGTTGAGATTGCTCATTTGTTTTTCTACAGGCTTTTCCTGTCCAATTTACAATTTATTCATATTTAATTGAGGAAACTCTGATGACAAAATTTAGCAGGAATTAGATTAAAACCAATTCATTTTACTACACATGCATATGGGGAGGTGAGGTGAACGCTTGAAAAAAATTACTATAATTTAAATCTTAAATCTTGGGGGTCTGTGGCCATGGTCCATGACAATAAAGATATTTAAAGGGGGACATGGTAAAGAAAAAGTTGACAACCATTGGTTTAAGTCACAAACTGTATACAGGTAGTCCTCGACTTACAACAGTTTGTTTAGTGACCATTCAAAGTTATAATGGCACTGAAAAATGTGTCTTCTGACCATTTTTCCCAGTTACGACCTTTGTAGCACCCCCATGATCATGTGATCAAAATTCAGATGTTTGGCAACTGGTTCATATTTATGCCAGTTGCAATGTCCCGGGATCATGTGGTCACCTTTTGTGATCTTCTGACAAGCAAAATCAATGGGGAAGCAAGGCTCATTTAACAACCAGGCTACTAACTTATCAACTGCAGTAATTTGCTTAACAACTGTGACAAAAAAGTCGTAAAATGGGGCAAAACTCACTTAATAAATGTCTCACTTAAAAACAGAAATTTTGGGCTTATTTGTGGTGATATGTTGAGGACTACCTGTACCAAAGACCTGGTCCTTGCTAGTCTGGCTGTTCAAAGGTAATTTAATCAACTATCCTTCTGTGGTAAATGTTAAGTACGGTCCTGAATCAACTCATAAAATCTTAACAAATCTTTCCAGGGAGATAAAGGTTCTGAGGGACCTGCTGGACCAGTTGGAGCCCCGGGCCTATCCATCAAAGGAGATAAGGTACCCTATAGAATTGACTGTATAAACAGAATGCAATACTGCTGAACCATCAGCAGTTAATTTGCCACATGAAAAATGCCTCAGAAGAATTAAAGGAAAAACAATAAATTCAAAGATGCGTCATGCTAAAACCGCGCCCACCCCATTGCCGGCAATGGAAAAAAAGTTGCGATATGTCGCGACACATCACGTGATGTTGCGAGTTTGACACCCCTGATATAGAGAACAACTTATTAAGCTGTGATGTTGCTTAGAGGTAAAGTCAAGATGGTGGTCTCACATTGTAACTGATACTCTTTCACTTTTGCATATGCAACATATAATGTTTTATGCACATACAAAAAGGCAAGATTTTTGATCATTTTGCCACAACTGCCATCTCGAATTTTCCCATGGATGTTGCAACATTAATTAACATGAGATAATTACAATATCGCTGTCTTGTGACATAGTCTCATTATTTTCCAAATTGTTCTTCTCTCATTACTCTTTCCCACCCAACACAGTTACGTTCCTTTTGAATACTTTGTAAGCTACTGCAATCAGAATGCATGTGACTTTCAAATTTGAACCTAACATCATGATGGTGATACTTCAATTAAAGCAATAATTTATGGGAGTATTTTTCATATAGGGTGAACGAGGATTGGAAGGAGTGCAGGGCCCAATGGGACCGCCTGGAACTGGCATCCAAGGAAATCAGGTAACATCTCATTTGGTCCCATCACCTCACAATCCATCCTGCCCTAAATATTACAAAATTGTCTGTGGAAGACACCTACAATATGTGACCATGGACTATTTGCATATCTGCAGGTTAATTTATGATTCCAGGGTATTGATTTAAGTCACAGTGCCTTAAGAACTCCAAGCAAATTAGATTTGCCCAGCAGGTTTATAGACCTTTAATTTTGTACTGTTTCCCAAAAAAGAGGCAGGCTTAATGCTAAAGCAAAACCAATCAATATACAAGCTGCCTTATATCAAGTCAGACTCTTGGTCCATCTGCCTTTGTTTTGGTGACATAATTTTTCCCAAGGTTTCAGACTGCAGTTCTCCAAGTCTCCCAAAAGAAATCTGGGATTGAACCAGAGAAGCACTGTATGCAGAACTGGTATTTCATCACTGGGCTACAGCCCTGCCATTTTAAGAATGAAAACAATGTATCTTTTCATAACAATTTATATTTCTTAATTTAAATTTATTAAGAAATGTAACAATTTATATTTCTTGATATAATTTATAGCAAACATTAAGAATAGCTACAGGTATCATCAAAAGTAAACAAATTGATTTTGGATGTTTGTTGGAGTACAATGAATTGTTCTAAAACTCTACTTAGATCTATAGTTGAATAGGACCAGTATAGTTTATGTGCTTTTATTCAATTACAGTCAACTATATTTTTTGTAACTTAATGTATGTCTGAGTTCATCTGCAAATCTAAATAAAATGCTTACAGTTTGCTCCTCATGCAGAAAATTAAAATTTGTTTCTGTATATAAATGTGAATGATCTCTAAAATCAAGATGAACACTTTAACATTGGATTAGCGTTGATTTAAAAACTAGGAGAAGCTTTCATCCATCAGTAACTCTAAATCTGGATTACTTTAAAGAGCTCTCACAACCTAGTATCTTTTGGCTTTTTGTAATGCAACCCTAGAATTCCAAGCCAACAAGGAGTTTTAATTCATTGTAAATCAAAGATGGAATGCATGCATTACATGCAGCAATTCCTAGGTTCAATTCTTGGTATGTCAAGGTAGCAGTTAAGCTTAGATGTGACATAAGATGTGACATAAGCCGTGATGGTGCAGTGGCTACAATGCAGTATTGCAGGCTAACTGCCGACTGCCAGGAGTTTAATCCTGACTGGCTCAAGGTTGACTCAGCCTTCCATCCTTCTGAGGTTGGTAAAATGAGGATTGTCCCATATTATTGGGGGCAATATGCCGATTTTGTAAACTGCTTAGAGAGGGCTGTAAAGCACTATGAAGTGGTATATAAGTCTAAGTGCTATTGCTAAATGCTATAAAAAATGCTGAGGCCTTCAACCTTGTACCAGCCAGAGTGGACAAATCTGGATTAGACCCACAAATTGCCAATACAGTTGTTCTTTGGTCTAGAAGTAATATTCTTCAAATTATTTGGTTCCAGCACATTAATATTTGTCCAAGAAAGTCTGATGCTGCTATAACTGCATAAAAAATGTGATAGATATTATGAAATTCAAAAATATGTAATAGTGTAATAGAAATTATGGGACGCATAGTTAAACTTCAACAATAAATAAAAGGATGTTTAAGCTTGCATTTTGAAGTAGAAGTTACCAAATATTTGTGAGTCAATTTTCTTTCTTTATTATATGATGACTGTCCATTCTGTCAATGTAGTTGATACCCGAGGAAGAGCAAGTTTAGTCAATTGAAAAATTATATTTTCAGGGTATTCAAGGGGTAAAAGGTGCTCCTGGTGTGAAGGGGTCACGAGGAATAGGACTGCCTGGACCAAAGGTATGCATGTATTAAATTTATAGGCTGATACAATCTGTTAGAACTCTGGTGCATTTACAAAATACAACAATAAAAGCACAATAAATACACAGAATATATACTCAAAAAGTAATGTCCAGAGAAAATCAGGAAATGACTAGGCTCAGCCCAAGGAAGGGGTCAAACACATCATCAGTCTCAAATCCCTTCATGCCCACAAGAGATCTAAGTCCAACTCACCTTGAATTCATTAGCTCCTATCTACCATCAATTTGCTTTGACTGTTAGTAGTTCAGATTCTTATAGAGATCTTAAGCTTATAATAAACCTATTAAACCTGATTTCCTGTGCTTGGTAGACAAGTGGAATAACATGTGACCAGCTTTGATTATCTATCAAAACTTGTCTCCTCCTTAAAGCTCAACAGCTAGTAAATATTTTCCTGTCGACCAGAAACCCACCCATCGCTTTTCTACACTTCTGCCTTAGATATGTGGTGGCAACATCAAAATCTGGAGAGAAACACTTTAGCAGAGCAATGAAGCAATGAGTGAGGATGCTTTTCCACATCTAGTAATGAGAGTTGAGTCAGTTTAAACTTTAGAAGGCAACATGCAAAGTGAGGGCTCTATTCTTTACATGAAAAAAATGTGCATCTGTTTATGTCTATAAATAGATAATGTATGACTTATAAGTTATTGGGAAATATTTATTCATTAATATTTTTTATTTTTATAAGGGAGAATTGGGACCATCTGGACAAAAAGGAGATATAGGAGCACCAGGAATTGGGCAGCCTGGACCTAAAGTGAGCCTGTTTTGCACTCATAAATCTAAAATTTAATTTTTGCTTAATGAAATGAAGACTTGAAACTTCTCTATGAGCTGTGATTCTGGAAACTGCATTATCCAAGGGGACAATTCTTTGAATGCAGTAGGAATATTTGTTATATCAGTTAATAATAGCACACAAATATTTCTCAATATTGGCAAAACACAAAATTAGTGATGATTCAATATCTGACAATATCTAAGTAAGTTAATGTACTCACTTTCATTCAAGATAAAAGCAAAAGTTATTAATCGAATTTCACATATTTAAAGAATTAGAATGGAAGTAATCATCCTCCCCAAACAATGCAAATCTGTTGACCATTTTTTTTTTTTAAAAAAAATCGTTTAAAAAATGATACTTTCTTTCAAAGGGAGACCCGGGAAGATCAGGATTTCCAGGAGAAAGTGGGAAACCAGGAATACAGGGGATACCAGGAAAAAAGGTAATTGATTTGTTTGTTTAATATATGTGGGTTCAAGACAGGGCTGCAGTTCCATCAAGTGAATGAGGGAAAGGCATCCCTTCGTGTCCCTATGCCCCTGTCATCACCACCACCATCATCATCATCATTATGTGTTTGAAGCAAGAAGAAGTTGGGAATCTACCATGCTTGTTCATGTACAAGAGGAGTACTAAGGGAATAGGGAGGGGGTACATTTCTACTTGCTCCATTGATAACTTATGTCTGAAAGATGCTGCAGATCCTTTCCTAAAACAAAAAGTTTCAGTTAACGCTTTTTTCTTCCCACCAATTTTGCTCACTCATGCAGCTTTAGAGAGATTAAGTTCTAGTTGTATTTTTTTTATCCACACTACCATATTATGTGTATTTATAATAACGAGAATATGGATGTGGTCCTGTAGATCAGGCATAGCATCCTGTGGGGGCCTTTTCACATTCCCTTTTTCTGTCAAAAATGTGTTGGGATATGAGCCAGTTATATGCAATTATAATGAGACTGTAGAGTTTGACCTATGAAAGTAGGGAACGTCCGTGCATGTGGAAGACAGGAAGTTTATTTATTGCTTATATCCACAGACCATTACATTACCTTTCTGAATAAAACTATGATATTGGAAATCAGTCTGACCTAGAGAAAAGAACCAAGTATAGTGGCTGGAGTGGAATGCCGGTTGAGGCTTCAATGTTCTTGCTTGCATACCCTTTTGACTCCTTGCAGCACATGGACATCACCCCACACTTGCACATAAATGGGATGGATCGAATGTAAAAGACGCCAATGAGCTGCTTTTTTTAAATATAATTTGGGCCTTAAGCAATAAGGAGTACTCTATTCTCTATGCTGTCACAAATTTATATTAAGAAGAATAAACTGTTATGAATATATTTAGGTCACTTAAATCTCACATCTCCATTCTCATAGTCTTTTTTTTAAAAAAAAATAGAGTGAATGCTTTAGACACTTGCACTTTTTATATTTTGAATTATTATGTTAAAGCTACTGAATTTTTCATGTTTTAGTTTGTTGTTTCAGATGTGTTTTGTTTGTTTTTGATATAATACAGTATATATTTATAGTGCTGAGTGGAATTAATACCTTAATTTTGTTGATAATAGGGAGAACAAGGACCATCTGGTCCAAGAGGCCCAGAGGGAATTCCAGGGAAAGGGGACTTGGGTCCAAAGGTATGATTTAATTTATTTATTTTATAATTATGTAGTAGAACAGAGAAATAAAAATTCTTGAAGAATCAAGCCATATACAGTAGTATATTTTTATCCAAGATGATGCTTTTTCAAATATGCTTTCAAGTTTAAATATTTTCAATATAAATCATATAAAAAAACCTTGTAAACAAAAAATTGCAATCATCGTATTTGAACTGAGATGACAGAGAAAGGTGCTGTCATTTAAAAGAATCTCCAAGTTGCAGCTCAGATATGGCTTGCTGAATTTTTTCCATATCTGTTGGAGAGAGAGAAAAATCCTTTTTATTGATTTTCTTACAAGGCCTTTTCAAGATAATTATAATGTAGAGTATCATTTGAGGGATAGGATTATTCTGTGCAAACCTTAGTTGCCAAAAATTATGATCACGGGTCACAAATTTAATTCAAAAGCTAAGGAAGCCATATTGTGCATGAAAAAAAATCTACCAAATATTTGTCATACTTCATATGCCACAACTTGAGTTCATTGATTCTAGATCAAGCAGACTATTAAGCGAGGAGATAGTGATAAAGTTGCTGAGCCATGATCTTAAAAATAAATGGAAAAAAGTGATGGCAAACAACTTCCATATTTCTATTAATGCCCATAAAAGTACCAAGAGTCAAGCTGAATGTAAAGCAGATTTTATTGTATTTCTTGTTTTATATGTTGAACTACATGAAGAAAGAAGAGATTTAAATGTATTAGGTTTTCTTAGATTCTATGCAGGCTTCAGGTGCAGGGCAAAGGAGCAATATCTTGAAACAGATTCATGAAACTAGCAAAATAGTTTGCTTAAGAAGTTGGGCCCTTTTTAATATTTGAACATGGAAAACATCTGGAATTTAAGCCTATAAAGCCTCCATCACATATTCACTGCTTTTTGCCCCATAGCATAAATTTATTCTAAAAATATTCCTAAATAGAAGTTGTCAATTCAGGTAGATTAGGTGAAAATCTCTGTCTGTTAATATTGCTTTTTAAAAAAAAAAAAAAAAAATCAGGGTGAAGATGGTCAGAAAGGTGTCCAAGGATTAGATGGACCACGAGGTATTCCAGGCCCTCCAGGACCAAAGGTGTGTTAGGTACATTTCTCAATTGTTATTGTATAATGACATTCAGTATTCTGCATGCAGATTAATATGAATTGTGTTTAATAAATTCATATAATGCAGTTATTAGATATCCTCCAATTATTAAAGATAGCATGTCTACTGGGGAATGTAAGTTATAGTCTAGCATATCTGGAAAACATCTTGCTGGAAAAGGCAAGTTCATATATTGATTAGCAAATCATGAAAGTCTGGTGAATTCCACTGCTATCATTATAGTTGCTTAGAACAATCTGGATACTAGTTCAACAATTTCAAAAACTCATAAACCTCAAAGTAAGATCAAAGATCAAAGTCTTATAGAAAGGATATCACTCATATCCTACAAATGAGTTTCTTAACTTATGAATTAACAAAAAGGAAAATATGGAATTAAAATATGTGTTAAATGTTAGCTGCTTTTAAATAAGTCTAAGGAAGAAGAGGAATAACTGCAATCTAAGTGTCTTAATCCAGAATTTTGAGATCATTTGTAATATTCTGCTTAATATTCTAATTCAATGGTATTTATAATAAAAGAATCTTTAACAGGAAACCAGACAATTATGATAAATTGAGTTTCACTGACTTTAGGGCTACACTGTGATTTGGATTTAAAGGTTAAAAGATATTTCAGAGTGCATAATCAGAAATTGTCTGCAGCTTCTGCTTTTCTTAGTGTCATGCTTTTCCCATGAAAAGACCCAGGAACTGTGGACAGATGTTAAATGAGCATAGTCATCTTTCTAAAAGCTGTATTTACCTTTGAATCTGCATGTTTTTTATAGATTTTATAGTATGTTTGAAATATGAGTTAAGGCCCCTGTAATATCAACTGACTTATTTCTGCACTTATAAAAAGAGTCTATAGAGAACTGAAAAAGAGAGTTTTCTTTTCATTGAGTGTTTAAAATAAAAAATAAAAAAATATGTTGATATACAAATACATAAACAGATTTTGTTCTTTTAGGGAGAATCTGGAATCAAAGGTGACATTGGTTCTCCAGGACCTTCAGTACGTGGGCTACCTGGCCCCAAGGTATATAAGCTACTGACTGTTCATAGGAAGAATACTTATCTGATGTTAGCTCTGCAGGGAAGTGCAGGCAAGAAGCACAAACAGGAATATTAACTTTATTTTTATTGCAAGGCTACAGTAACAGAATCTTGCCAAGTAGGAAATATTTTTCCCCTTTCTTTTTACTCTGAAGAAAACTAGGGAGTATCCCTTTGAAAACTAGGAAGTGGCCCTTTCCCACACTCGTGGGCTGAGACTTTTTTTATATGCACCTCTCCCCCCTGTCTCTCAAGGACATTCCCTCATACCATTGCATCTGAAAACAGGAATTGCCAAAAGAATAGCCATTAGTAGACTACAGCAAAAAAAATGTTGATGCTTTAAAAAAATTCCAAAAAAGGAGAATATTTATAGTTCAGGGTTGACATGAGGAATCCTTGGTGTTTTTTGAGCTTGTTTGTTTTCTTGCAGACATTTCATTAACCAAACTAATATCATCAGTGTCTCAAGAAAACAACCAAGCTCAGAGACCACAAAGGATCCCTCACTTGGGGAAAAAAGCTGTATAATGGCACATGTTTTAAGAAATTAAAGTCCCCTTCACCAAATGCATGGCTCATTTTCCTGATAGAGTACCATATATACAATGCAAGAAAGGGAAAAATAATGAAGAAGAATTTAAGAGAAATGCAGTATACAAGGTACAATAGTGATAATTGCATTTTTGACAGTGGCCATTCACCAAACAGTTGTTAGATTCAACACAAGCATTTTTCCATTGTTATATTTCATATAAAACATGTATGTGAAAACAACAGATTAAAAGAATATGAAGGGGGAATAAAAATTAATGGATGCAAAGGATGCAAATTAGTATGTGGCTAACTAAATCTATCACAGTGCAAGGCACGCTTAAATATCAAACTAAATGCTCATTAAGACTTGTTTGAAGCACAGGTATCTAATGTATTTTAAATGCTTAAAATCTGCACAGAACCTGTAACATTGTACCTTAAAGCAGGATTAGTGTATCCAAGCAGCAGAGAGGTACAGAACATATGAAATAAATTCTTTTTATTTGTAGTTTTGGAATTGTCATACTTGGTGGATGGATCTTCTCCTAGTCATAGTTTGAAATATAACTGCTCATCAAAATTATTCAGATCAACACCTGAAGTTGTCATTTTCTTTAAAAAATTCAAACGTAATGTGATTATTTTAATTTATTCATATTTGTATTGTTTAGGGTGAACAAGGATACCCAGGCCCTCCTGGAAATGATGGAAACCCTGGACATACAATTGTGGGACCTAAGGTAATAAATAAATCAATATGGCTTAAGATCAGTAAGGGAAAAGAAGAAAACACAAGGGCTTCCTCTCAAAATATTCTTCTTACTTAATTTCTGGTTAATATCTGGTATCTTTTCCCCCCTTCTTTCTCATATTACATTTTAGATTTCTATTTTCTAATATCCACTTGCTTAGTTATGTACAGTACTCTGTTTCAAAATTTGCAATCCTACTCTCCTATTCCTAAGCACTAAAGAATGAAGTTTAGAAGTTCAGTTTCATGAAGTTTCTAAATTATTTACCAGGCTGATGCAGTATATGATTTAAGTCTAAAACATTGCTTTATTCAGAATAATCTCAGTATAAGAATAAAATAAATAATACAGTAAAGCTAGAAAGCAGATCAAACTTTTAGAGTTCTTATTCACTCAGGTTCTTCCATCAATATTGATTAACTTAGCTTCCAGTTTCTCATAGACATTCATACCTGTTGTTTTACAACTTGGATTCTCTTGTATTTTTGAATATGTGTGTGTGTGTGTGTGTGTGTGTGTTTAACAAAAATCATAGACCGATAATGCTAATGAATGAAATAAAATTAAAATGAATACCTGAGAAAAATGTCTTTTCATCCTTAATGCCTCATCTCAAATATGTATGTTATTTATTATTATCTTAGACCTGCATTAGCAGATTTGTTAGCAGATTCAGTGAATTTGATAGGTATTCTTCTTTGTCAGACAGAGACTGAAAACTTATCCTCATAGCTACTAAGCAAAATTCAGCTATTTCATATGCAGTTTTGGTGCCACATTCTGCCAGGACAAATAAGATCTATATTCTTCTCTACTTGGGAAGCTTTTAAAAGAATCCTGATTAAGATAAGTCTTTATATTGCACTATAGTAAGACATGGTGCATATGCTCTATTGCATGAGAACACAATAGCTCTATTTGCAAAGATGTAGAAAAATGGAACATTTAAACCTTTGAACTTGCACACTAGAAATGACTGTCTACATTCATGAGGTATTCTGACCTTGTGTTGGAGAAATTAAAAGCACCATTTCCGAAAAATTGTTCTTCTAATCTCAGGAGGAAGTTATTGGACAAAATAGTCAGTTTTTAAGAATAGGATGTTCATAAAGTAAAACCATATGTTTGGCAACTCTGTCTTGTACAAGAACTTGGAAGTCAGAATACAGAGATCTTGCCCTTAAATTTTTCACTAAGAAATTATTTGATATATGAAAGATTGGCAGCATTCCAGAGGGATCCTTTGGTACATTCAATATGAATTTTGGCTTTCTCTGTCTGTCTTTTCCAGTGTTCTACCATTGTTTTTAATGAGTAATGTGTCTTCAAAATGAAAGCAAGAATAGGACAAAAACTAAATGTGATGTAATGTAATTTAAATACAGGAAGCAAACTTTATTAAATTTAGCATAGTTGTATAATAATAATAATAATAATAATAATAATAATAATAATAATAATAATAGTAGTAGTAGTAGTAGTAGTAGTAGTAGTAGTAGTAGTAGTAGTAGTAGTAGTAGTAGTAAAGTTGGAAGGGACCTTAGAGGTCATCTAGTCCAACCCACTGCTCAGGCAGGAAATCCTATACGATTTCAGACAAATGGCTGTCCAATTTCTTCTTAAAAACTTCCAGTGTTGGAGCATTCACCACTTCTGGAGGCAGGTTGATATTTAACTATTTTATTCCTCAAAATACCATTAACATAATTTGGCAGCAACATTTGACAGGGTTCTGGAGGTGACACTTCTGATACACTTTATTGTAACACTTTATTGTAACTATTTTGTAACTTTATTGTAACTATTAGTTCAATGCCATACATGGTTGCTCATTCTCAGATTCAAGAATGCACATTGCATCAGAATCTTACATACTTTTCCTAATAGCATTGTTCAATAAGAGGTTTTACACTTTCCTTCATTTGTACTCCATACAGAGGCACAATTTGGTATGCTATGACACAATATACTGCCAACGGAACTATAACATGTGAAGTGTTTGTATCACTTTATAAAGCCCTAGTAAGACAACACCTGGATACTGCAACCAATTTTGGTCACCATACTACAAAAAAGATGTTGAGAGTTTGGGAAAAGTTCAGAGAAAAGCAACTAAAATGATCAAAGGCCTGGAGACTAAAACATATGAGGAATGATTGCAGGACTTGGGTTTGGCTAGTCTAAAGAAAAGAAGAAATAGGGGAGACATGATAGCAGTATTCCAGTATTTGAGGGGTTGCCATAAAGAAGAGGGGGTCATGTTATTCACCAAAGCACTAGAGGGCAAGACAAGAAACAAAGGTTGGAAACTGATCAAAGAGAGAAGCAACCTGGAATTAAGGAGAAACTTCCTGACAGTGAGGACAATCAACCAGTGGAACAGCTTGCCTCCAGAAATCATGGGCACTCCATCACTGGAGATTTTAAAGAAGAGACTAGATAGTCACTTGTCTGAAATGATGTAGGTTCTTCTGCTTGAGCAGGGGGCTGGGCTAGAAGACCTCCAAAGTCCTTCCAGCTCTATTCTATTCCAATAACATTTATTTATTTATTTATTATTTAAATTTATATACCGCCCTATCTCCCTTACGGGACTCAGGGCGGTGAACAGGCAATAATAAAAATCACAATAAATATTGAATAAAAAGCCTGCTCTAAAATACCTCATATAAAACCCCTAGCAAAGCCCAATCAAAACTACGCCAGGCTGGCTGCATGGAATAGATGGGTTTTCAAGGCTCGGCGGAAGAGGCGCAGGTCCGTAGTTGTACATAAGTCGGGGGGGTAGGTCATTCCAGAGGGCAGGAGCTGCCACAGAGAAGGCTCTCCCCCCTATTAACATCTCAGTGTTAATGAAGAGAATTTATATTAATGCTTATGATTTGTGTTCAGGGTGCTCCAGGTGTTATTGGACCTGCCGGACCGCCCGGGGCCAAGGGGGATGGCTTTCCAGGCCCATCAGTAAGTGTAATTTCACTTATATGTTCTTGTCTGGCATTTAAGGATAATAAATAGGCTTATTAATGTTTTAAATACAAACAAACAAATAAATAATATAAGAAGCTTATATTACAGCCTTATACAGGTTGTGAGCACATATAATACTGAGCAATGATTTTTAATCATGGTTTGTTGTTGAAAAAGTAAAAGTTGCTTGGTGTGCACATTGTGTTAAGCAAAAAGAAACAACTCATATTAGGTCTTAGTGGTAAGTGGGAACCCCTAGGTCAAAAATGTTACTCTTAGTCCTCTCTCCCCAGGATTTCAGGCTTTCCCCCAGATTTTCCTAGAGACACCAGGAATTGAATTTGGAATTTTCTACTTGCAAATGTCTCCTTCTCCAATTCAAAGAAACAGACACTCATGCAAGACCTAACCCCACCCCAGTGGTGGGGTTCAAATATGTGAACAACTGGTTCTCTGTGTGGATGCCGCTTCCGGAAGTCCATTCTGGGCCTGGGCAACAAAAAATTAGCTACCTGTTCTGCCGAAGTGGTGCGAACCGGCTGAATTCCACCACTGCTCCACCCCTATTTTCTATTGTTCTGTAAAGCTAATTTGCTTGTCTGTTTCTTTAACTCTGCTAGGGACCTCAAGGATTGCCTGGCTTTCCAGGACCAAGAGGCCTTAAAGGAGCTGGTGATCCGGGACAAAAGGTGCAGATGCAGTGTTCTTATTTACTTTTGAAATATATGTCTTTATAAATTTCAGTATTGTTTTGAGAAAGCATCTTTTACAAGGTGCTCTCTATAATGGACTCTTTGAGTAATAAATATATCTATTTGTAAATGAATCAGAATAATCAGATATAATTAATAGTATTCCACAGCAGTATTTCTCAATCTGAGCAACTCTAAGATGCATGGACTTCAACTCCCAGAATCTGGGAATTAAAATCTACACATTTTAGAGTTGCTAAGATTGAGAAAAATTGTCCTACAGCATTTTTTGGCAGATGTAAAGCAGGGGGTTGGACTAGATAACCTCCAAGGTCTCTTCCAACATCATCATTATTAGTTTGGCTTTAATCCGCTTGTAATATTTGGGTGGATTTCTACATTTCTTTGTGTCAAATTAACATTCTAACAATATCATGCCATTTGAAGAATTAGAACTGTTAATTATATGCAGGAAAGACTTGCTGTTATTTGTGATGACAAACACAAATTGCATTTGTATAGCTACCATTTACTTCCATGTAAGGAAGTGAGGTTCTCAGTAAATTTTAGAAAAATTCAAAAAGCTCTGAGTAGATTTTGGTATTTTTGCAAGACTTAAATTTGAGAATAAACTCTGTCTCTATTTTAAGTTGTCATGTTCTTGTAATTCAGAACATTCTCTCAATGTGATTTGCCTTTGGCTGTATGAATAGGATTCACATTGATATTAATACACATTAAAAAGCACTACACACATTGTAGTATAAAGAAAGCCCATGTATGAAGGAACAGGTTACCTGGTGGAGGAGCGAAGTTGTATTAAGTGTTATTGCAATTATGTGAACAGTTTGATCTATAATCTCTACAAGAAGCTAAAGCAGTGTTTCTGGATATTTTAAGATGTGTGGACCTCCTAGAATTCCTCAATCAGACTGAGATATTCTGGGAACTGAAGTTCACACATCTTGTAGTTGGGCAAGATTGAGAAACACTAAGCTAAAGCACAAAATCTTTCGCCTTTGAAACTAGAATGTAGCATAACTGCAAGAAAGAGAGGGAGAAAAGGAGAGAAGGATAGGAAGAAGACATGGGATGTCTTTTGCACGAGTCGTATTGGTCTGTTTGCCCTTGTAGCCCGACACCGCCTATTTTGACCTTCCTGAACCTCAGGGCTATATTTCTCATCACATCATTTTATATCTGATATTGGAAATGGCATGAATCTATGGATATAAGCAATCTAGAGATTTCTATGCCACATCATTTTCTTCATATCTCTTATTACTGACCAGAAAAAACACTGGCATAAGAGCTTAATCTTACCAGTCTTATGTAAAGTCTCTTCTCCCTTGCCATCATTACTAATTAACTCTTTATTTTGCTCGGGGATTATTCTTCCTCTTTGAGGTAGACATGGGCAGAAAACTACACTAAGATTCACCACAGTGTGGTGTGGAAGAGAGGGTTCCTGCCTGTTTTTATTTATTTTTTTGTTTGTTTGTATCCCACCTCTATTATTTTTACAAATAGCTCAAGGTGGTGAACATATCCAGCACATATTCCTCAGAAGGATGGAAGTCTGAGTCAGCCTTGATCAAATGCCTGGCATAAGTCTTTCCTTGTTGTCTTCAGAAAGACAGAGTGTTTTTCCTCTCATGCATGAGAAGACAGAGAGTGATTGTCTCCTTCTGCATGGAGAAGAACATGTAAGGGCAGGCTTTCTTCTATTTAGCTCTGCCTTTGAAGGTACCCTACATTCAGAAAGTAGGTAGGGAGCTGTATCCAGAGTTATAGGACTAGCTGTCGGGCGGAGGAATTCTAGGGGCTGAAATCCATGCATCTTAAAGTTGCCAACTTTGGAAAATATTGTATTAGAATATTGCCTAGGAATCCCCAATTGCTTCTCTGAAAGGAGTACTCCATATTGCTAGGGCAGCAACACTAGTGGCCTCACTGTACGTAGGCTATAGTGGCAACACTTTTTATATCAGGATTACTGAATTTAAACTGCATACCACATAGCTGAAGCATCCAGTCTGGCTTTTAGACTTTAATATTTCTTCCTATGTCTTTTAGACTTTAATATTTCTTCCCTATCCCCTGATTTGTAGTATTTTGATTAATTTAATTTCTGCAAAATTTAAATGCTGTCAACACCTCATTTTGCTGTTCTTCATAAAGATAGCACTATGGATATTTTCTTCCATAAAACAGTACCCAATAATAATATATTATACTTATTGCTATTCTTTTTTCCACAAAGACATTGTTTTTCTTCTCTCATTATTGGCATTGTGCAAGGATGAAATCTTTTTTGATACTACCCCAATTGCTAATTTAAACTGCATTGCTTTAATCCCCAGATATATAAAACAGCTTTGTTTAACTAAAAAGCCCCCATTAATAAATTTGCATACAAGTCAAGCTGGAATGCCTCTAACTTTTGCACTGTAAGAATGTTCCCTGAAGATCAGTTGGGGCTCTGTTTTCTTGGCTTGAGAAATGGCTCACACATATATCCAGCAGAGAACTGGAATTTGTTGTAACAGAGATTCAATTCACACCAAATTGCCTGTGGGATGCATGAACTATATGGGCACCGCCTTGTTGTTGAGACATGGTACACAGTAAAGGAGCATAGTTGTAATCACAAGCGAAAATAAAATGCATAACTTTCAAGGAATTGCAGCTTAAATAGGCTCTAAAGTATTCTGCCTGTAAAGCAGATCAAAGACCTATACCACCAACATCGTCCCTAGGAGATACACTAGGCCAGCTGCTGAAAGAATGCCTTTTTAAATTGTGACCTCTCAGGTTCTGGCTGAACTCCCAAAAAGAGCAGACTGGCTGTTCCTCACTCCAGGCATCCTATTAATCTCACGGTTACTAACTATTCAGGACTGCTGGATTGGCTCAGAATATGTTGCTACCAGAAGAGACAGAGCAGCGATTTCGATGGAATGTTCTCTGCTGCATCCAAGTCTGTTGGATAACTTAGAGGGCTTAGGATCTAATGTGTGAGAAGCATAAGAACCAGGGTTCTTCAACCTCTAATGCTAATAGTGAGACTGGCAATATGGAATGCAGTGGGTGGAATTTTAAAGTTTTGACCCAGCTACATAATTTTTCTGATAACTACATGCAATTACATGCATCTATACATGCGTTATAAATGTATCTACTATGCTGTTATCTTATTTATTTTAAATGCTGCTATTTTGTTTCTTTATTATAAAGCATTCAAAACACTCCCATCATTGCTTGTTTTTGTCTGTTTTTGTGTCTGATGATGGAGGAGAAAGTTTGGCTTCTATTCCCTACGGGCAAACCATCGATTGGTGATTTTATAGCTCTTGTATGTAAGCCATTCAGCTTTTTGGAGTTGGGTGGCCTAGAAATTTGATTATTATATATATTATACACGTTGGTAAGGCCACACATGGAATAATGCACACGGCACACACACCCCAGCCTGCATTTTGCCATCAGTGGCCTTCTGGAAAGGCCTCTTATGGCAAAATGCAGGCTGGGGGGGGGTGCCGCAGAAGAAGTGGGCGAGGCAGGTGTCAATTCATGGGAGGCTGGCTGCAAAGCTAAATGGGTGCAGGGCACATGGGGCAGATCCACCCCCACATGCACCTCACCCCAAAACTAGGGCTTATTTTCGGGGTAGGTTTTACTTTCGGGAACCACGGTCAACCAGATCTATCAAATCTAGTTAAGAGGCTGCACCTGCCAGATTTGGCTAGTTCTGCCATGCAAAATGGGAATGATGTTTTGCTCCATCTGATTCCCATCCTCCTTCTACTGCCCTGCTTATATAATGAGAGGAATCTTTGTGCAAATGAAAATATATATAAAATAACAGAATGGTAGAGACATAAGAAATGGATCAGAACTTCTTTTTTTCCAAGAGTTCTGGCAAGATAGTTCAATGTCCAAGGGGGTTGTTGGTGGAATTCTTTTGTTCGCAGACGTGAGTGCTATTGAGTCATGACTTTACTTTAGCTACATTTATAGATCCAGGGAACAGAGACTCATGCCATGCAAAACAGTCTTAAGAGACACAAAAGGGATATACATTATGCAAGAGATTGGTGCAAAGTTGCTGGGAAAATATAATAGTAAGCAGCCTAAACTCATTTATACTGATTTTAAGATACGTCAGTGAAAAGCAGCTTCTCCCAAACATGAATTCATAGAATTCTAGTTTAAAATGCACCGTGTGTGCTCATTCTTGGCTACTCCACAAATGTCTTCAGATGCAAAATTATCTGAGTAATTTAGGAATCATTTGGCTCCCCCTACTGGTAATATTTAGCACACAGAGAATTTCAACACAAATACAGGTAGTCCTTGACTTATGGCCACAATTGGGACTGAAACATCCATTACTAAGTGAGACAGTTGTTAAGTGAGTCATACCCAATTTAATAACTTTTTTTGCTGTGGTTGTTAAGCAAATCACAATAGCTGCTAAGTGAATCACATGGTTGTTAAGTGACTCCACCTTCCTACTTGTTTGTTGGAGGCCAGCTGGGAAAATAACAAATGGCAATCATTTGTTTTTGTAGACATGACAAGCATCATAAATACGTGTCAGTTGCCAAGTGCCCAAATTTTGATCATGTGACCGTGATGATGATGTGATGATTGTAAGTGCAAGCATAGGTTGTAAGTCACTTTTTTCAGTGCCATTGTAACTTTGAACGTTCACTAAACAAATGGTTGTAAATTGAGAACTATCTATGTTTAGGGCTAATTCTAATTGTGTGTCTTTACTAAAGCTACTTGAAGTTAGCTTTCTCTGGAAGAAAGTTATGTTAGGGTTAGTGTGTGTGTGTTGTGTGTGTTTGTGTGTGTGTATCACTCAAGGTTTGTGTGTGTGTGTATCACTCATACCTAATACTCTCACTTCTTTTCCTCACAACAATCACCCTGTGAGAAGGATTGGGCCAAGAGAGAGAGTGGCCCAAAGTCACTCAGCTAGTTTTCATGCCTAGCATTCATAGTTTCCTGATTTATAGACCACTGCTTAACTGCTACACCAAGGTTTCTCAAACTTGGCAACTTTAAGATGGGTGGCTTTCAGTTCCCAGAATTTTGGCTGGAAATTCTGAGAATTCTCCCTCACTGACTAGAGGATTCTGGGAGTTGAACTCCATTCATCTTAAAGCAGTGAGTTTGAGAAACAATTCTACACCCAAATGCCTCTCTGTGTTTTCTACCATGTTAGCTCACTTTTGTGTGTGCATGGTGGGATAATGCTGGACAGTGGGGTCACCTCCATGGAAAATTCTGGGCTGCATATTGGCAGGTCCAAGGAAATTCTGATAAGTGGAAATGATGCTAGAGATACTGCTTTGTTGTGAATGAGCATAACAGTTACTTATTTCATATTTTAACTCAAAAATCAATTAAAAAAGTGAAATGGGAGCAAAGGAAGCCCTAAAGGAAGTGTCTGTGGTCACATTGTTACCATGATATCATATTGCAGATCCCTAATTTCAATGTGGAAAGTATTTAGCTTAAATTGGTCAATATCAGCCTGTATTGCAGACTGTGTATAACGTAGAAAAATGGAATTAACGTAAATTCAGCAATCGAAACTATATCACCACCTGTCCCAGTGCTAAATTCTTTTGAAGTAGTATATCCTTTCATTTTTTTAATCATTAAAAGAATTACTGTATAGAGATAATACATACTGCAGACAGTTTTAATTACTCCAAATCCTGTTCCTGCTATTTTCTTTATCATGAGTTTTCTAGCACATGAAAAGTCTCTGTGTGGGAGAAACGTGGTTTGAAGTGATGAAATAACACAGAAAACTGGGTACTGGGCCCCTCTCTCCATTACTAATTAGGTTTCAACAAGTGTTTTTCAACCTCAGGAATTTAAGATGTGTGGACTTCAACTCTCTATCCTGCCATGCTCTGTAGGGAATTTTGAAAGTTGAAGTCTACAGGTCTTAAAAGTCCCTAAAGTTGAGAAACACTGGATTAAACAAAAATGGGGAAGGAACAGACAGAACATCCACTAAAGAAATATAGAGGAAACATATAGAATAGGGAATAGCTACTATGAAGCATTAACGTAGCTATAGTAGTATATGAAGCATCTGTAGAGAATGTAGAGATAGTGCAAACCATTTGGAAATAATTTCTATAATAAATAATTAGTTTCATTTTATTTTGGTTAGAGTTTTAACTGAATTTGGCACATTTCCATGTTCCAAATATTACTTTTCCAAAAGTTAAAAGAGCTAAAACCCGAATAAGGCTATTATATTACACATGAGGTTCATTTGCTTGCAAGGTTACCCTCTTGGATCCAAGATCTTCATCTTTGGAATACTGTTTCCCAAGGTATCTGTGGTGCATGGCTGCATATGGCAATATCCCAACCTTGTACTTATACCTTTGGAAAACCTGGTTTTGAAGTGCAGCATACACTTTTTGGAATTAAATAAAAATAAGCATGTTTTTTCCAGAGAACGTTGCCTCTGAGGCTTGGTATGGCAGTCTAAGGCAGGGGTGTCAAACTGCCGGCCCACGGGCCGGTTTCATCATACTGAAGCCGCGCCCACCCCATTGCCGGCAATGGCAAAACCGGCCCGATACGTTGCGCGACATCACATGACGTCACGAGTTTGACACCCCTGGTCTAAGGGCTCAGTTTTCTATCATATCACAGCTCTGCTTTCAGAAGGGGAAATCCAGCATTAGATCCCCAATTCCTGTCAAATTTTGCAGATGAAATTTTTTGCAAAGGTTCCAGATAAGGGACAATGGTAGTGCTGAAAGAATTTTAGATATGAATTATCCAATTCCTATTTGTTTTATTGATGGAAGATGCCTTATGAAGTGCTGCTGGGTGAGGAATTCTAGGAGTTGAAATCCACAAGTCTTAAAGTTGCCAAGCCTTGCTCTAAATCACAAGACACAGAAATTGCAGATTACATGAAATATTTGGCTTTGCTTTTTTGAATGAAATGCCATATATTACTTCTAATACAATTTGCTTTGAAATCATGTTTGACTTATGAGATTGCAATGAGATTGCCCTTATCTTCTATCTCCTTCCTTCCTTCCTTCCTTCCTTCCTTCCTTCCTTCCTTCCTTCCTTCCTTCCTTCCTTCCCATTCATAAATGTATGTGATTATAATTCCTGTCTAATTTCTTTCTATTAGGGAGAACAAGGAGCACGAGGACCACCAGGACCTCCTGGACAAAGAGGAGTGGGAATACCTGGGCCAAAGGTCAGTGAGATGTTCATTTGATTGCTGGGTAAATGGAGATAACAGTGGTGAGGAGAAAATTTCAATTGGGCTTCAGATTCTATGGATGCCTCAATTTAGACACTCTCTAAGCAATATTTGGAGAAAAATCATGTACCAGGCTTGATTCTGTTGCCTTACAACTTACTCCCTCCCCTCCAGTCAGTCCTAAATCCAATGTCTCACCAGAAAAATAGGACCACTTCATATAGTCAATAACAACTTTAGGTTTGTTTTTTTTACTAATTAGCTTTTGCAATATTATTTGTACTCTAAAATTCTCATAAGGAATATAGGCTTTTTCATACTCAAAAGAGAACATTGTATGATTCCAATTTTAGCATTGATTTACTCCATGGCTGCTACTCTCTTGGAAAACTTTAATTATAATCTACATTTTATAGATCAGAGTGATCTACTTTGACCATTTCAATTTCAACACCTTTCTCACCTATTCTGAGAAATAATAAAAACACAAATTTGGACAAGATATTGGCCAGAACAACCTTAAGCCTGGATGTCTTTGTCTGTGGCCAGTTCCTTTTCTGATTTCTTTCCATGAAGTTGTTTCATCTTGTCCCCAGTCCACAATAGAGGCAGATTTAGTTAAATAGCATATTCTTTTTTATCCCAACACAATCCAAGGGCAGTTTGTTGATGTATATAATTTGTTATATGTTGACACATCTTGGATGCCCGCAGTGACATAAAATAGAGGGAGGATATAATTTAGTAATAGGAACAGTAAGTTTTATGCCAGTATTTATAACTAGTATTTATTTATAAATAAATAAAATAAATGCAACGATCTTACTTCTTAGTAGCAAAGCTCAGCAGATGTCAGGTTTACTGGTTTTGCCAGTTTTTTCACCTATAACCTCAAGAACCAAAAAAAGAAATGTGCAAGAGAGAGACATTGTTAAAATTAAAGACAGCTACTTTATACGGGAATTGATTTTAGTAGTTTTCCTTACTGATTGTTGATCAGTGGTGATCCTGGCCAAAATAGCTTAGGAATTAGGTATATATGTTTGACTATATTTATCAAGAAACACATGAACAATACAGGTCACTTTTAAATAATTCAGACTACACTGATTAGTACTGTAGAAAAATTATATGCTCATCATAGGATTAAATTTGCATCCCCTGTTACAAATAGCTACATTTGTATTGGGAAAATTCCTCCAGTCTGGATTCCTAGACTATAAGTGTCTTAAATGTTTGCATATCCAGTGACAACTATCCAAAATCCATCCATACAACATTTCTACATCTGATTTATTAGTTTTCCATCCCTCTATCACAAGTGATCATGATGCAACAGTGTTTATAACAGATTAAAAATATTGTCTTTAACTTTGGCCATAAACCAGTGAAGGGATTTCATTGATTATCAGAGCACGTTGACCCAAAGAATACATTAGAAACTTTCATTTCCCATATAACTAACTGCCAATACCATATGTTAGAAGAGAAAAAACAAAGAATAGGTGAAAAAAGAAACAGAAGTAATCTGGAAAAACATAACAACAAGATAGCCAGTCCCCATATAGTAACCAAATTGAGATCGCAACTCCATTGCTAAGTGAAATGATCATTAAACAAAACATAATTGCCCACTTAGTGACAGTTTTTCCTGCATTGATCATTAAGTGACCACTTGCAATTTATAAGCAGCACATCATATGACCTTGTGACTTGGGAAGGTCATCAATGGAAATCACATGACTGCAAGATGCTGCAATAGTTATAAATGTGCAACAGTTGCCAGGCAACCAAGGCAGATATACTGTGACAGTCATAAGAGCAAGGACCAGTTGTAAGTCACTTTTTTCAGTGTTGTAGATTCAAACATTCACTAAATGAATTATCACTAAGCACGGTCTATTTGTAATGAGGAGGAGGAAGAGGGAGTGATATTTGTTAGATTTATAACTTACTTTTCCTTCAAGAACTCAATATGATGTATGTGGGGATCCTTTTTCTTTTTGTCCCCACAACAGCAACACTGTGAGGTAGGTTATGCTGAGAGGGAGTGACTAGTGCAAAGTTACAAGTGAGTTGGACTATTTACCTAGTGTGCATATTTGATAAAATTCAAACAGAGCTAAAAGACCAGGCTTACTATGTAAGATTTGACAGAAACTAAAACTAATCAGAATATTAGTAGGATATGAATCTTCATCATAAGAATATATTAGTATTTATCTTTGTGATAATGCACAATGTGTATATTAAACTTAAGGACTGTGGGCAATGACAATTGTAAACAAATTATTTTATCAAATGTAAATCAAAATAGCCTACAAGGAACAAAAAAAGCAGGCAAAGGTCTAGCTACAAGGAACATAATATTGAAATAGGTACAAAAGACAGAGATAGCACTGAACAAAATAGGAACCAAAGCACTTAGAAAGAAGGAGTGCTTAGATAAGAAAAGCCAGATAGGTATACCTGGCTAAGGAGTAATATCTGTGGTAAGGTCTGTGTATATTAGTACAATCACCGATTATGTACTAGTTGCAATGTTCTCCAGCTGCCAAAATAGCCAATGTAGTTTTGGGTTGCATTAATAAAAGTACAATGTCAGAATCAGAAGATGTGTTAATGCTAGTCTATGTGCACTGCTCATACTACACCAGGAATATTATGTCCCATTTTTGTCCATACAAAAATAGTTCTGTGGAACAAGAAAGAGTGCATAGTAGAACAAGAAAGATAATAATGGGCTTGGATGCTAAATGCTATGAGAGGTTAAAGGACCTTGGTAACTTTAGCCTAACAAAGGGAAGACTAAATGGATATATGACACCAGTCATCTCACACACATATTGTATAAAGGGATTTCAGCCGGAAGAAGGTGTGGACTTATTATTCAGAGCATCCAACTGCAAGACAAGGATCAGCAGGTGGAAACTTAACACAGAGAGATCAAAACTTGAAATAATATTTAAAGTTATTAAACAGTGGAATATCCTACCTCCCAAAGTTATGGATGCTCCATCACTGGAAGTTTTCAATAAAAGACTGACTTTCTGCAAAATGGCATGAATTTACTTCCACTGATTAAAGGACATCAAGGTCCTTTCTAACCTGTGATTCTATGATTCTAAAATAAACCAAAAAAGAAAGTCACAGAATTATATCAAACTGGGATGAGTAAGGGATCAACAGTATGGATAATCTTGTCTGATGGGAAATTTTGGTCTGTTTTTATATTGTTATTTTTATTGATGTGAACGTCCTGGGATCATTGTGTGAGATAGGCTGTCATTGTATCTCTGTTTGTACATGTCTGTGTGTGTGTTGGGTAGGAATAATTTTGATGTTTGTGAAATGACAGCAATATAAAAGGTTTGAAGCAAATCATCCCGAGATAGACCAGCAGAATCTATTTTTACTTCAATATAATAACATTGTAAATTTATCAAAATTTTACTGGTTTTCTATTTTCAAATTGACTGGAAGACTTAATAAATAATAATAATCAGAATAGAGATGGAAGGGACCTTGGAGGTCTTCTACTCTAGCCCCATGCTCAAGCAGGGGTCCCTATATCATTTCAGACAAGTGGCTGTTCAGTCTCTTCTTAAAAACTTAGAGTGATGAAGCACCCACAATGTCTAAAGGCAAGCTGTTCCACTGGTTAATTGTCGTCACTGTTAGGAAGTTTCTCCTTAATTCCAGGTTGCTTCTTTCCTTGATTAGTTCCCATCCATTGTTTCTTGTCTTGCTTTCTGGTGCTTTGGAAAATAAATCGACCCCTTCCTCCTTGTGACAGCCTTTCAAATACTGGAATGCTGCTATCATATCCCCCTTAGTCCTTCTTTTCTCTAGACTGGCCATTCCCAAATCCTGTCACCAATCTTCATATGTTTTAGTCTCCAGACTTTTAATCATCTTAGTTGCTCTTCTTTCCATTTTTTTCAAAGTCTCAACATTATTTTGTAATGTGATGACCAAAACTAGATGTAGTATTCCAGATGTGGCTTTATAAAGCAGTATTAATACTTCACGTGATTTTGATTCTGTGCCTTTGTTTATAACAACCAAGGATTGTATTAGCTTTTTTGGCTGCTGCCACACACTGCTGAATCATGTTTAAGTGATCATCCACTAGGACTTCAAGGTCCCTCTCACAATTACTTTTTTTGAGCCAGGTTTCACCTAATCTGTATTTGTACTTTTGGTTTTTCCTGCCCAGGTGTAAAACCTTGCTTTTCTCCACATTAAATATCATTTCGTTGGATAGGGCCCATTGTTCAAGTCTGTCAAGATCTTTTTGGATTCTGAGTTTGTCTTCTCGGGTGTTTGCTATTCCTGCCAGCTTAGTGTCATCAGCAAATTTGATGAGATACCCTTCTATTCCCTCATCTAAGTCATTTATGAAGATATTTTTTTTTTTAAAAAGTATTATTATTCTTTTAAAAATTCAATTTCTACATTGAACAGTGTGTTGTCTAGGTATATAAGTATTAAAATATAATAATAATCACATTCATAATTTATCAAAATACAATCATATACTAGGAAATAGCAATCAAAATATTAAAAATAGTATTACCCACATTAACATTAGTTATATAACAATCAAAGTATTTACTAATCCATTATAAATCTTGCTCACATAATCCACATATTTTCATATTTCCAAATTTCTAACCTCTGTTTTTATCAGGTAACCATTGGTAAAATAAGTCCCATGTCATATAATATTCTGTTTCTTCTTTTTCTTTAATTTTTAATGTTAACCTATCCATTTCTGCGCATTCCAGTATTTTTTTAATTATATTCTCCTCTGTAGGAGTTTCTTCATTTTTCCAAAATTGTGCATATACTATCCTATCTGCTGTTAAAATATGTAAAATTAAATAAGTATTACCTTTATTGTAATTTCCTGGTAACATGCCCAGTAAGAATATCTCTGGTTTTAGATCTATATGTTGTTTTGTCATTGCTTCCAACCATACATGAATTTTATTCCAATATTTTTTTGCTTTGGGACATGTCCACCACATGTGGTAATACGAATCTGGTATTTGATTGCATTGCCAACATTTAGCAGATTTATCTTTATACATATTTGAAGATATTGAAGACTACTGGGCCTAAGACAGAACCTTGTGGTACCCCACTGTTTATTTCCCTACGTATAGATGTAGTACCATTAAGGACTACTCATTGAGTAAGGTTTGTCAGCCACTTACAAAACCATCTGATGATGATGCTGTTTATTGTTCCATATTTTTCTAACTTACCAAGAAGTAGGTTGTGGTCTATCTTGTCAAATGCCTTGCTGAAGTCTAAATGCCTTCAGTAAGGCATTTGATAAAGTACAACCTACTACTTGATAAGATAGAAAAATGTGGGTTAGACAGCATCACCACCAGATGGATCTGTAGCTGGCTGACCGGCCGTACTCAGTGTGTGGTCCTCAATGGAACTGCATCTACATGGAGGGAAGTGTGTAGTGGGGTGCCCCAGGGCTCTGTTCTGGGCCCAGTGCTCTTCAACATCTTCATCAACGATTTGGACGAGGGGATAGATGGGGAAATCATCAAATTTGCAGACGACACCAAGCTGGCAGGAATAGCCAACACTCCAGAAGACAGGCTTAGGATACAGGAGGATCTGGACACACTTGAACACTGGGCGCTATCTAACAAAATGAAATTCAATGGTGAAAAAAGTAAGGTTCTACATTTAGGCAAGAAAAACCAAATGTACAGGTATAGTATAGGGGGTACCTTGCTCAATAGTAGTAACTGTGAGAGGGACTTCGGAGTCCTAGTGGACAATCACTTAAATATGAGCCCGCAATGTGCTGCAGCTGCCAAAAAGGCCAACACAGTGCTGGGCTGCATTAACAGAGGGATAGAATCAAGATCACACGAAGTATTAATACCACTCTACAATGCCTTGGTAAGGCCACACTTGGAATACTGCATCCAGTTTTGGTCACCACGATGTAAAAAAGATGTTGAGACTCTAGAAAGAGTACAGAGAAGAGCAACAAAGATGATTAGGGGACTGGCGGCTAAAGCATATAGGAAAGGCTGCTGGAATTGGGTATGTCTAGTTTAATGAAGAGAAGGATGAGGGGTGACATGATAGCAGCGTTCCAATATCTTAGGGGCTGCCACAAAGAAGAGGGAGTCATGCTATTTTCCAAGGTGCCCGAAGGCAGGACAAGAAGCAATGGATGGAAACTAATCAAGGAGAGAAGCAACCTAGAACTAAGGAGAAACTTCCTGACAGTTAGAACAATTAACCAGTGGAACAACCTGCCTCCAGAAGTGGTGAATACTCCAACACTGGAAGTTTTTAAAAAGAGACTGGACAGCCATTTGTCTGAAATGGTATAGGGTTTCCTGCCTGAGAAGAGAGTTGGACTAGATGACCTCCAAGGTCCCTTCCAACTTTATTATTATTATTATTATTATTATTATTATTATTATTATTATTATTATTATTATTATTATTATTATTATTATTATTACTACTACTACTACTACTGCTACTACTACTACAACTACTACTACTACTACTACTAAATATACTATGTCCACAGCATTTCACTGGTCTATTAATTTAGTCACTTTGTCAAAGAATGAAATAAGATTGGTTTGACATGATCTGTTTTTAACAAACCCATGCTGGCTACTAGTTATAATTTTATTTGTTTCTAAATGTTCACAGATCTGTTTTTTTGATTATTTTTTCCAGTATCTTCCCAGGTATTGATGTCAGGCCAATTGGTCTGTAGTTTCCTGGGTCTGGTTTTTTTTCCCTTTTTTGAAAATGGGAACCACATCAGTTCTTTTCCAATTCTCTGGTAATTCCTCAGTGCTCCAAGATTTTTTAAAGAAATGGTACAATGATTCTGAGATAACGTCTGCCAGCTCCTTCAGAACTCTGGGATGTAATCTGTCAAGTCTTGGTAATTTCTTTCATCAAGGCCAGACAGGTGTTCTCTTACCATTTTCTTGCTTATTTTAATTTTTGTTTCTAGTCCATCTTTTACACTTATGTTTTTTGGTAGGTTGGTCTATAGCAGGCATGTCAAACTTGCAACATCACATGATGTTGCGTGACATATCACAACTTTTTCCCCATTGCCGGCAATGAGGTGGGTACGGTTTCAGTGTGACGCATCCATCCTGCGGGCCGGCAGTTTGACATGTCTGCTCTATAGTTTTTTGTTGTGTGAAGACTAATGTAAAGAATGAGTTGAGCAGTTCTGCTTTCTCTCTTCTGCCTGTTATATCCTTGCCATCTTCTCTCTTTAGTGGACCGACTGTTTCCTTGACTTTTTTTGTTATTTATATGTTGAAAGAATTTTTTTCAATTATCTTTGACTTTTGTTGCAAGTATTTGTTCATTCTGAGCCTCTGCCCTTCTGACTTTATCCTTGCAGATTTGGGCTATCTGCTGATATTTTGTCTTAGTTATGTGTTCCTCTTTCCATTTTTTGTACTTATCCTTTTTGTCTTTCAGTTTATCAGAGAGATCTTTGTGCAACTATTCTTCAATTTCTTGTTTTTCTTTTTTAGTGGTATTGTGTTGGACTGAGCTTTTATGATTGTATTTTTCAGTGTTTTCCACGCTTTTTGAGTTGTTTTCCCTTTTAGGATTTTTGTCCATGAAATTTTACTTAGACTTTCTCTGAGTTTGTTAAAATCAGCTCTTTTAAAGTTTAAGACACTGGTTGGATTATATTCTATTTTCTGTGTTTGCATTATGTTGAATTCCAGTATGACGTGGTCACTCTTGCCCAAGGTTCCAGCAGTTTCAACTCCCTTATCACTTCTTCTCTATTAGTAAGAATTAGGTCTAGTATAGCTTTTCCTCTAGTTCCCTCCTCTACCTTTTGGGTAACAAAACTGTCAGCTAAGTTGGTTAGAAATCTGTTCAATCTCCCACTTGCTGTAGTGTTTGTCTTCCAGTTGATATCAGGGTAGTTAAAGTCTCCCATTACTACTGTGGTATGTTTCCTACATACACTTGTTAATTGATTGGCAAAGAGTTTATCTATTTCTCCTGCTTGGTTGGGTGGCCTGTAGTACACGCCTATAGCAGAAACCGAGTGCCCAAACCACAACCCAAAACCCACTTATTTATCAAAAAGTGCCAGGGCCACATCAGTATTGTGGTGCCCTCAGGGGGGTGGGCGTGGCCCATTGGGTGGGCATGGCTGCAGTTGTCACGGCAGACTGGGTGGGCGTGGCTTGGGTGGGAATGGCCACCTCGATATTGCTCATGGGGGGATGCCTGTGGGGGCCGGGCAGGGTTGGTGGAGATCCAGGGGGTCTCTGGTGGGTGGGGAGGTGGGCAGGAGGCCCAGCATAGATGGGAAGGAGGCATGCAATCCTAGCTGGGACTGGAGGGCCATGACACTGATGGGGATCCAGCTTTCCCTGCTCAGAGTGGCCTTTGGCTTGGTGGGTGTGGGCATGCTCTACCACCTTTATTCGAACTTGCTAGCTGTCCGCTTCACCTCCTTTGTGCCGGGTGGGGCTGCTGCTCCAGGCAGCAGCGGCAGCCTAATGGACCTGCACAAGCTGCTGGCAGTGGCGGCACGCGTGCCCACAGAGAGGGCTCTGAGTGCCGCCTCTGGCACCCGTGCCATAGGTTCGCCACCACTGGCCTATATCAATGTTATTCTTTTTTCTTTTTATATTGACCCATATGGATTCTAGGAGGTTTTCATCCTTGGTTTTGTGTATTTTTGTACACATGTAGTGATCTTTTATGTATAATGCAATTCCACCTCCTCTTTTGTTGGGTCTGTTTCTTTTGACTTCTAGTGAAGTTTGGGAATTTCTTAAAAACAATTTTTCTGTTACCCCCCCCCCCTTTTCTTAAATAGGGTATTATGGGGCAAAAGGGTTTTCCTGGATCTCCAGGTGCTCCAGGAGACAGCATACAAGGAAATAAGGTAAGAATATTAATGCTAGGGAAGGCTTTTGAAAGTAGATTATTCCTCCCATGTTTTGCATAGGTATTTGTTTTATTACTGCCGTTTCCTTGAATTTTAAAACTCCAACTAATTGATAGATCTCAAATTAATCACAATTATATCAACTTAAATTCTTAAATATATCCTAATACTATGGTCCTATTTTTAGAGGATAGTCCAGCATTAATAGCTAAAATATTGCCAGGAGGTCTTCTTGTATGTGAAAATATTCCCTGTTTCAAGGTGAGGAGCTAGTTGCCTTCCAGATGTGCTTGAATTAGAGTTCCTATCAGATTCAGCCAGTGTGATTTAAGGTACAGATGTTGGGCCCTGTAGTTTGACAATATTTAGAAAGTCAGCAGATCCATACTCTTTATTTAAAGGGTTAGCAATTGTAACTGAATTTAAGACAAAGAAAGAAAATAGATAGCCTAAAAGTACTAATCAATATTAAGATTGACTTTCCCATTATGATAATATAGTAGTCCAAATTTGTGCCAATGCATACAAATTAGCATAAGCAAATAGATGCCTGCTGAGATTTAGACAATCTGAATTTTGTGGAGTTGATTTACAACTATTAGGGAAGACAATGATCTAACTGAATATATCCTTGAACATTGGTATACGCTATCCCCCCTTCTTTCTTTCTCTTTCATTCTTTCTCTCTTGCTTTTGTACCTTAAAACTCAATGCCAAAAAGTAAAAAACAACAACATACAAGCCATTTTGCCTCCACTATTATCTATAACGACCACAAATACTTTTCTAATTTCTTAGCAAACTTATAATGAGAAAAGTAGTGGTGAAGAGAACTTCTCCAACAATTTCTCAAGGGCAGAATCCCTCCTTATATTCCCACTATTGTTGAAAAAGCCCAAAGCAAGGGAATCTGTTGCAGAGCTCTATTTTTATTATTTGCAAAAGATGCAGAGATATTTGCATCTGTCCATTTTCTGGGGAAATGGTCTCATTTAGCCAAAGGGATATGAGAATTCTGGCTTTCCATGTATTTTCTTAAAACCCCAGGATTCAGCTGTTTGGAGATTTTTCAAAAGAAAATTGCTTCCTGTTGTTCAGTAGCTATAGCATTATAAAACACCTATGTTCCAGTCCTTGGGCTTGTAGATATGAAACTGTTCCCTGGAAACACAAATCCACAAATCCATAATTGTTTGAGTTTTGTTTATATTAACTCAGTGGTTCTGTAGGCAATTGACATTGAAGCTGTGCTATTGAGAGAAATATAATAACTCAAACCTCAATAACTATAGAGAAGGTTCTTATATGTTTGCTTTCTGTGACTTTAATAAAGATTGCTATTTAACAGACATAGTTATAGGTACATAGAAGTCCATGCTCAAGAGACATAAAGCTAAATCACTTCTTCATTGGAACATAAAATGACTTAGAATCAGGCTGAAGACTATGCAACTCTATACACTTAATTTCCATCAGCTCAGTTGGCAGGGCCAGTGATCAAACATTATGAGAATTAAAGGCTAGCCTTTTCAGGATCTACAAAATCCTTTCCCCTAAATAAATACTGAAAGCGAAGATTTTTTTTAGCCTGATAAATATTATGGTACAAAATAGATCTTTTGCAAAGATACATTTGGAATTATTCTTACATATTATTTTCAGGGAGAGCAAGGAATTCACGGTTCACCAGGACCAAAGGGCTCCATAGGAATTGGATTACCTGGTCCAAAGGTAAGAAGTTTGCCCTTTAGTAATCAATTAGATTAAATATTCATTGTATACTTTATTTAGAAATATCTTAATTACTAATGGCACTTTTTCAATTATCTTTCTGAATCAAATTTTGTATTGTTTGTAGTTTTTTTGCTTTAAAAGGGCAGGTATATACATGTAGTCCTCAACTTATGACCATTCATTTAGTGATCATTCAAAGTTACAACACCATTGAAAATATGACTTGCAACCAATTGTTACCATTACAACCATCACAGTATCCCCACAATCATGTAATAAAAATTTGATAGCTGGGCATCTGGCATGTATTTACAATGGTTGCAATGCCCTGGGGGGGTCTTGTGACCATCATTTACAACCTTCCCAGTTGACTTCCAGCAAGCAAAATCAATGGTTAAAGCCAGATTCACTTAAAGACCACATGATTCACTTAACAATTGAAGTTGCATAGCAACCATAGCAAAAAAAGGTCATAAAAATGGCTGCAACTTACTTAACAAATGCCTTGCTTAACAATGGAAATTCTGGTTTCATTTGTGGTTGTAAGTTGAGGACTACCTATATACAAATCAGAATTTCCTCCTCAGTTTTTATTCAGGACAAAGTTTAAAAATGAATAAGCATTTTGGTCCCCTAGATTAACTTTGGAAACAATGGGTCATCATTACAATGGGCAACCGTATTTTGTTTCTTGAAAAAAATATCAAAACATTTCCTGCAACAGAGGAATAAGATGACTGCTGTGCTTTTATCACGCAATTAACCTGCTTCATTTACAGTGACCAGTTTATTTATTTACTTGGACTTACTTGTTGCTGATTCCCATGAGCTCTGAATGGCTTATAAATTGGCAGAGATAGGATTAGAAGCATTGCATCACTTTTGTTAACTATTTGTTTCTATTGGCCATGCTATCTCTAGTTTAGGCTAAACTTTCATATCCATAGAAGCTTTCCTGAAGAGCCAGGTTATTTTTTCAGGTTTTCTTTCCTGCATTCTGTTAAAGAAGAAAAGATTCAAAGCTGTAGAACAATCTTGATTGATAACTTCAGGGATTATTCATCTAAAAACACATAAAATTCTTGCCTATCATCTTATGGATGGATTACATAAAATTAATATTAATACTGAAAAACTAATAAATGCTAATAACCATGATCCTTTCGAACCAAATCATCAGCTTTTTGAGGTAGATCAATTAAAAAACTGTGCAAATATGACAAGAATCCTTGTTGAGGTGGGAAGCTACAGAAACCAAATAAATAATTAAATTGTTGTATGGTATAATAAAAGAGAAAAGAGACTGCCAAAGGCAAAAAGGGAAAGAAAACAAATAGGATATCAGAAGAAACAGTGGTAATTGCCAAGAAAACCGAAGCCAAAAAAGACAAAGATTTCAGGAAGAAATCTTGTTATTCAAGAATAACTAGAAGAGAAAAGAAGCATTAGTATGACATCGGTAAATCCACTGAAAATGGAAGCAGACACAGAAAAACAAAGAAAGTCTTCTCAAAGTTTTCCAAATTGAGAAGGAGATTTCAAGCTTAGGAAAATATAGTAAAGGATGCCAACGAGCAATTGGTAACTGATTCAAAAAACAGCAAGAGACCATGAGTTCAACTCTCATCTTAGCCATGAAAGCCAGCTAGGTAACTTTAGGCCACTCATAGGCCACCTCATAGGGTTGTTGTTGTGGGGAAAATAGAAGGAGGAAGGAGTGTTGAACATGTTTATCACCTTGAGTTATTTGTAAAAATAATAAAGGCAGAATAAAAAACAAACAAGTACAATTCTGTACAATAAAGATGTCACTGTCCAAGATACATTAAACTATATTCGTTATTTACATTATGTACTTTAGTATTAAAAGATGAAGTTAGACCAGCACATTGATCATTACTAAGTTGGAAAGCTACAGGAATTGATGGAATATCTGCAGAAATACTGCAGTCAACAGAAGAACCAATAAAGGGTCTAACCAAACTGTGCCAGCAAATCTGGAGAATGACCCAGTAGCCATCAGATTGGAAAAAAACAATTTGCATACCAATATCATGCAAAGAAGACAGTGCAAACATTGATAGTAATGAACGTCAAGGAACATAGTAAAAAATGATGTGATATGTCTAAATCTACAAAGACCACCTATTAATGAATAATTAATAGATTTAAAGAAAAAAAGCTAAATATCAATTGTATTTTATTGCAGTGATTGTGCAGAAAGATGCTAGGATATATTATTTATATCTACAATAGTTATTTTATATAGTTCTTTCATTCTAGCTACTTTTGATTTGAATAACTCATCACCTTTCTTGCATCGAAATAATATTAAAATACTTCAGATATGTCTTCCTGTCATTCATTCATATAATTAAAAGAATGTTCTATCTTTTTAGGGTGACTATGGAGAGAGGGGAGAACAAGGAAAGAGAGGTAACAAAGGAGAAATTGGAGAGCCTGGCCCTCAAGGACCAAGGGTAAAACTTAAATATTTCACATTGGCTTGGGTCTAGATTAGTCATATGAAGGATATCTACAGTATCAAAAGGACTGTAGTACACTTGACTTACTCTGGAGCCAACTCTTATTTATATTACACAACAACTATATGTTGCATAAGACTATGAAATAATATGCCATTTATTTATATTTCAGGGATTTTTAGGACAAAAGGGTGAACCTGGTCTTACTGTAAGTATATCTGTCATTTGTTGACATCAAAATAGTATTTTATATTAAAAACCACAATTAGCCCAGTTTAGGTATGTCCTTTGCATAGGTGTGAAATTAGAATGGGTACAATCAGCCTCCTATGCTGATAATAATCTCTTTCAGATATTATGCCAACAGATGCAAATAATATTTCATTCACCATTGACGTTGACTCAGAAGATACATTTTGAACAGTGCTAGATTGGAATTTACCAGTATTTCTAATTTATTTGCATATAGCAAATTGTGAAATTAAAGCCATATTTAGTGATAATATATATTGATTGTGTCCATGTATAAATAGCCCGGTTAGCTGCTCCCTTGTTTAACAAACCTCCATGTGATGGCAGTGCACATTTTCTGATAAATCAATCAATAAAGAGCAGCTATATTTTAAGTCTACTCAGTACTTTTTTTGTTAAAAAAAAAGGTGCCGGAACTCACCCATGTCATACAACCCGCCTTGCCTACTCTACAAGGTTCCATCCAAAAAAGGTGCCAGAACTCTGTTCTGGGTGTTCTATGACAAAAAAAGCCCTGAGTCTACTAAGGGAGAGTTATGTTAGCCTTACTGACTTGGGCTATCTGGGTTGGGGTATTCAAAGAACATACTTTTGTCCCTGTGATTCAATTAAACGTGCTGTAAAAGTATAGCTTATTGAAAACTATTTTTAAAAAACGCCTATGGTATTTCTAATTCTGAAAGACCAAACTAAGGTCTTGCTCTCTTTCAGAAAGAAGAAATAATCAAACTCATTATGGAGATATGTGGTAAGATCTACTTAAGGAAAGAATTTATTTTACTGTAAAGTCACTTTTGCTTAAAGAATTTAAAATAAATCTTATCAGTATATATTGCAATTAAAATTGTTGAGTGAAAGGAAAAGGAAAACAAAAGTTTGTACAAGCTTCGTATTGGGCTTTATGTTGACAATCTACAGCGTATGCAGTGGATACTTCGGTGCTCTCATAAAATGGTTGCCATAGTTGGCATGGCAAGTTCCAAAACCCACTCTAGCTTCTAAGGCCTATCATCCCAGATTACCTCTGTTTTTCCTGGGCATGTTAGGAATATTTGTGTGCTAAAGAGTACTATACAAGAGGAAAAGAATTCTAGTAGTTTTATTCTAAATAAAAATGGATACCCTTACTTGGTCTAAAAGTTGCACAGTTATAGAAACTGTTGATAGAATAACTACTTGCCTATCATCAGAGAAACAAGTATTGGAGATTATAATTAAGTGTAAAATTTGTGCATGTTAATTTTCATGACTTTTTTTCAAATTTGGGAATTATTGTAATGTAAGGTGAATCTGTAAAGTGAAACTCTATTGTTTTTCTGTGGTCAGGCATTTTTACAAGCTAATTATCAATGTGTCTGCTGTACAATCTTCTGCCTGGGCATTAATAGTAGATGAGCAGTTTCAAAACATTGCCTCTTTAGTGGCACAGTGGCACAGTGGTTAGAATGCAGTATTGCAGGCCAACTCTCACTGCCAGGAGTTCAATCCTGACTGATTCAAGGTTCGCTCAGGTGTCCATCCTTCTGAGGTTGGTAAAATGAGGATCCAGATTGTTGGGGGTAATGTGCTGACTCTGTAAATCACTTAGAGAGTGCTATAAAGCAGGGATCCCAACGCCTGGACTGCGGCCCACTACTGTGCCTTGAGCCATTCAGAATCGGGTCATGGAAGTGGTAGGCGAGTACGTGCATCTCCAAGCGCTGGTGCACACATGCTTAGTTTACACAAATGAGCTGTGTGCCCATGCATGCCCACTCTCACATAGAACCATCCCCTCTCCTCCCCTCGGCCGGTCCACAAAGCTGGAAAGGTTGAGAATCTCTGCTATAAAGCACCATGAAGTGGTGTATAAGTCTATTTGATATTGCTATTTATCAAATCAAATCTGAACCTGATTCATTGCCTTGATATAGAGTTTGAAAAATACATGCCCACATGACTAAGCTTTTTTTCTATTTTTCAACTCTCCATGGGTGGGGAAACAGGCACCTTTTATCTGTTTATTTATAAGATTTGTATGACTGCCCATTTTAAATACAACTCTGGGTAGCTGATATGACAAATGCTTCACGTTATTTCATATTTTGGAAACCTTATTAGTTCTTGGAAAATCATACATAAAACAAATTGCTTACACTCTTATTCTATCTACCACTTATTTCAGGCTGTGGTGTTAAGTGCAGAGAAAATCCTTTGGAACTTGTGTTTGTGATTGACAGCTCTGAAAGTGTTGGGCCTGAAAACTTTGAAAGGATTAAACAGTTTGTAAAAACTATAATTGACGCTATCACAGTCAACCAAGCCACAACCCGAATTGGCATTATCAATTTTAGCCTCAAAGTAGATGTGGTGTCCACGCTGCAGCAATTTCCTACCAAAGACACTTTGAAAAACGCTGTTGATGCAATGCAGTATTATGGGGAAGGCACATACACTGCTACAGCTATCAGCAAAGCCACAGAGATATTTCAGATGGCTCGACAAGGAGTTAGAAAAGTGGCAATGGTTATAACAGATGGGCAGGCAGATCAACGTGACCCGTATAAACTGGAAGCAGTGGTGAGAGATGCCCATGCCCTCAACATAGAAATTTTTGTAATTGGAGTGGTACAGAAGACTGATCCCAACTTTGAAAATTTTCGAAAAGAAATGGATTTAATTGCTACTGATCCAGACAGTGATCATGTTTACCAGATCGATGACTTCATGACTCTGCAAGGTAAGAGTGAGATGCCTTTACTTGAACTATGGTATTCACAGAGCTAAACTGTGGATCCATCACACCATGATATATATGATGACAAGAAATCTTTATAAACCTACAGTATTAATTGTCAGTCATCCTGGGTAAACCAGACACGAAACAAGACTAGATGAACTAGATCCATTTTATTGTAAGGTGACATTGACAGAAACTTGCAGATCTGAAAGTAAAAAACTTCCTGCCATCACTTTTAACTGCTAGATCTACTAGAGTCCTTCTTTAGTTTCTTTCTCTGATCATTAAATCACTGGGACCTTCTTCCTATCTTGTCTGCTTTCCTTCCCCCCTTTACCCAAGATAATTCCCATATCCCATTACAATAATTAGTTGAAAAATACGACCTTATAAAAATAAAGAAATTGTTGCATGGGAAAATGAAACAATCACATCAGTAGCAGACATTAGGTGGAGTCTTTTTAGAATGAATTGACTATGAAACTTCATTTAGTCATATCCCTTTGGTACTCTTAAAGCACTACAATGCTTTAAACTTTAGAATAAGGGTCATATTGGAAGAACAGATGATGGAATTGTTTATTTAAACTTTGATCATCCAAAACACATAGAAAGCAAATAAAGTCATTCAGATCTGTTTCTCTTCTTTCTACTCCAAACGAATGGTTTTCTCTTTCATGAACTCCAAATCAAAGGATTTTGCTAAATGTAAAACGGGCATTGATAAAAATGGACAATACTCTGCACCACTTCAACCAGAAATTTTGAATTTTGAGGCATGCTCCCTAAATAGCCGCCATGGCCCCATTCACAAAATTACTGTCAAAACACATTTATTTACCAGAAATAAACTATTTGTGACAATTTGCTATTGGCATTTTATGGGATCTAAAATAGTTCTTTAAATAGGCTGGTATTGTGCTTTGAAACATGCTACCTTTTTTTTTTCTCTCTCTCTCTCTTTCCCTCCCTTCCCCCCCTCACCATATATATGGACAAAAATAGGTCACATCTAATTTCAGTTAATTCCTATCTATACACAATTCCATTGTATAATACTGTTTTATTTTTCATATGTTTAGCTCTTGAGGATAAGATTTTCAAACAAATTTGTGAAAATGACTTGAGTTCCTACATCACCAAAGTGCTTAGTTCAGGTCTTTCTCCAAAATTTGAAACCAGCGAACATGGCAGTCAGGTAGCCAAAATTGATCTTCCTGGACCATATGCCCCCTCACTACAGCCAGAGACTAGTGACTCTGTAAGTATTACTAAAAATGACATTTGTACAGGAGGGAAAAACATTTAATGATCAAATTCATGCTTTGTGCAAGTCCACAGTCTTTGAATTAAGCATTGCTAAATTTTATTACTGTTTTTTTTCTTTATTGTAAATATACTTTTCAAAGAGACCCAGTGAGAAAGGAGCATCCTATTTGGATCGGGATCACAATGTTTCCTCAACCACTTCCAAGCATATTCCTGACCATCATAGACGGCCAGTTAGCCAAGATTATTTGGAATCTAGCACTCACCATCCGGATTTAGCAGCTGTGTCTAATGTAACTAGACATGTGCAACCTACACCAGCTGTTGTTCCACTTCCTACAGTAATACATGTTATGAAAGGTATGGAAGCGTTCTAAAGCTGAAGAGATAAAATGGATGAGCAGACTTAATAGGACAATTTTTTTTGTTATCAGAGGAATCTTATGATAGTTTCTAATATCAAAAACCAAAAACAGAAATTCACAATTGCTTTGCTTTGCTTCTATTCTTCCTTTCTTTTGCACTGGCGCTATTCACACTACTTTCTTGCCTCTACATGAAAAGTCAAGGCAGTCAGGGAGCCACAAACTAAGATGACAGTAGGTGGCATCAGGACCCACCACTTCTCCTGGCCCTTATCAGTCCGAACTTGTACTGGGCCCATGAGCTGCATCATAATCTCATGGAGACACTTAACAGGGAGACAGAGGATCAGCTAGCAGTGGAATATTTCTATATGCCAGCCAAACCTTGTATACAATGGCTCACATTGTTAACTCATATGCTCAGCTATACCTAGCTGTTGCAAACCTTCTTTGAAACTTCAGTCTTTGCTTGATTGTAATGATGAACGCTTTCATGTCTTGTAAACTTTAGGAGGAGCTTTATTCCCTTTGAATAAATTATATTATTATAAGTGCCCAGACTGTGCTTATGATTACATCTTTCAGTTGTTGAGACTCAACAGTTGAGAGTCAGCCTGGCATGCCATCAACCATTGTTTTTATCTGGCAGCAACGCTCTGGAGACAGTTTATCATGAATAAATGATAAATGTTGGGTGCAGACAGTCTGGGTTAAGAGCCAATAAATAACTTGTATTTATGAACAGACTGCCTATTACCAAAGTGACAGAGTTCTCCTTCCTTGACCTGACAAAGTGACAGAGTTCTCCTTCCTCCTCCCTGACCTGAAGCTACTGCAATGTTTTCATGAACTGCTGAAACTGCGTGTTTTAAATGAACAGTAACGTTACGTTTTCAGAGGTTTTCAGTGGTTTGAGAAAACACTGTGCATCTTCAATGCTTTGTTGTTTGAGGCAGGAGAATGCTATCTGTCATTCTTAGTAATAGGCAGTAAGAAGCCTATTCCTAAGAACAAATTCTCACTTAAATACAAATTTGAGACAGAAGGATGGGTCTCATTCTTAACTTAAGGATTGCCTGTATACACCTATGTATACCATTCTTGGTGGCTTAGAATCAGATGGTCTAGGTCGGGGTAGGCAACCTTGGCTCTTTTATGACTCATGCACTTCAACTCCCAGAATTACTTTCCACAGAAAAAAGAAAAGAGTCCTTTCTTAGATGCTTTATCCCTTCTATGAGCTGAAATTTATCTTGTTGTCTTGTTGATTGCGGCTCTTTCTCTTGCTTTCCAATGTTATTCTTAGCCCTTGACATCTAATCAACACATTTAAAATGCAAGAGGGAATTAAATCTAAGTTTCTTCAATTTATTGGTGTTCGTCTCACCTTCCATCTCCCTATTTTCTACAGAAAGCAAACAAGACGGAGCAATAGTACATAACAATTAATGAAAACCAATGAAAATAAAAAAGCATAATTTATTCGTATAGATCTCAAGAATGAGTATATGTGATATTTAAACATTCAACAGACTGAAAAAACTGGAGAACCAGTTTGGTCTAGTGGTTAAGGCAGTATAGGGAAGTCCTCAACTTACAACCATTTGTTTAGTGATGGCACTGAAAAAAGTGATTTATAACCATTTTTCACACTTACAACTGTTACAGCGTTCCCCTGGTCATGTGATCAACATTCGAATGCTTGGCAACTGGCATGTATTTATGTCCCAAGTTCATGTGATCACCTTTTGTGACCTTCTGACAAGCAAAGTTAATGGGGAAGCCAGATTCTCTTAATAACCATGTTATTGACTTAACAACTGTGGCAAAAAAGGTCATAAAATGGGGAAAACTTAGTTAACAACTATCTTGTTCAGCAACAGAAATTTTGAACTCAATTGTGGTCATAAAACAAGGACAACCTATAGTCTAGAAAATTGGAGACTATAGGTTTTAGTCCCACCTTAGCCATGAAAGCCAGTTGGGTGACCTTGGACCAGTTACTCTCTCTCAGGCCTACTTACCTCACAGGTTGTTGTGGCAAAAATAGGAAGAAGATGTGTTAGATATGTTCACCTCCATGAGTTAATTGTAAAAATAATAAAGGCAGGTTATAAATAAATAAAAGGAAAGTCAGTTAATTATAAAGAAAATCTTAATGTTTAAATTATGTAGGGTTATTCTATTTTTATTTTTTTTATTAAATTTCTATGCCTTCCATTTTCCCTACAAGGTCACCCTAGGCAGCTTATTTTATCAATTACATGTCTTATTAAGTAAAAGCCCAATTGACTAAAGGGATTTCTGTTTATAGTAATTTTAAAATGTACTTATTTATTTATTTATTTATTTATTCGATTTATATCCCGCCCTTCTCCTTACCGGACTCAGGGCGGCTGACAGCCTTATAAAACCAATGCTACAATAAATACCTAATTTAAAACCGAATTAAAAAGAAATATTTGCTATGGCCTATACTGATTGGAATATGGTCAGAAACTTGGAAGATGAATACACTGTGTATTATTAACCTTTGAACCCTCCAAGCATTACAAAGGAGGATTGTATCTGCCAGTCAATCAGCACTATGTACAGCTAGCACTACAGCAATCTTGCAGAACCAGTTAAGGCAGGGAAAGCTAAGAGTGTCATGAAAGCTGAAAACAATGCAATTGTAACTCTTCCTTACATTGCATAGTAAAAATACAGGTAGTGGCAATGATTTGTAGTAATAAAGTTGTGTAGACAAAACATTTCAGCTTCTATAGAAGTACATCAAAACAATAAATATACATATATATTGTTTTCAGAAACCAGGTGTTTAGAACCAATGAAAACTGGAAGCTGCCGAAATTATCGAGTGAAATGGTTTTATGCCAAGGATACAAATTCTTGTGCCCGATTTTGGTATGGAGGTTGTGAAGGCAACCAGAATAGGTTTGAAACCGAACAAGAGTGCCAAGCAATTTGTGTTCAAGGATAAAGGTGAGATGTCTTAAATAAGATGTTTGTATTTATGTATTTTATTTATTTTGAAATAGCGATGCAAACCTTTTCCTTAAATAAATATATTGGTTGTTTAAGGTTGCACTAATCTGAACTGTATGCTCTCCTCTAAAAATCTGTACATGTAAATTTTTTTAGGAGTTAACATTAAAATGTATTTCTCTCTTACAGAAATCACAAGATGTTATAAGAAAATGAAGCCAAAGTTTGCATAATCATACTAAAAGAAATTCAAATGCTGTATTAATAGTACTTCTATAATATACTTGGTGCTTTTATGAAGCACTGACTTTTATAGTTTTATAATGTCTTATAATGGTATGATATGATATGATATAGATTATAGTGTAATACAGTATTGTATCTTTATAGATGATAGTTTTATTTGATAAAAAGCAGTTTACACTTTTATGCTTATTGATCTATGTTTCAGGAGCAATTTTTAATAAGCTAGATATCAAAGATCATCATAATTAGCATAAACATGGTTTTATTATGTTGAAATGAAAATATTCTGTACCACACAATATATAGAATAGAATGTGAATTTTAGATCATCATCAGAAACTGCAACAGCAACAAATAGACAACTGTATCATAATTGGGAACTTTCAAAATAGAATCTCTCCCTATGGATACAGCTATAACTCTTTTCCTACATCAAAGCCTATGTAATCTTGCAGCTAAGGATAATGAAAATTTGGTTGTTTGCTCTTTCCCCTTTGGGTATCTTTCTTCAGATGCCAAGATCCCGCTATAATTGTAGCAACAAGCCACAGAGAATAATTAATGGCTACAGGTGTCCTGTTCATATCAAGACACCATCCTGCCAATTTAGTAATACATTTTAAGACTATTAAGGTTAGTTTCTTATGCAAAAATCTCTGAGTAAAACAGGACCAGTATTTTGAATGTTATTGTTATTCCATATACTCTTGTTTCTCAGGGGTCTTAAACAAAAGAGGAAAATAAATTCATAGTAAATGTCAAAATCAATTATAGAAGAATAGGGGAAAGCACTGACAGATGTATATAAGTATATTTTTTCATACTGTATTTTCCTTTTAAACTGTATTTCTGCACCCAAAGTACTGTATATGCTAAAACTGATGAGTGATAATTAAACGTATCACATGAACAAGTTGTTCAGTTGCAAAGTCATGTTCAACTCTTCGCGACCCAATGGACCATAGCATGCCAGGTCCTTCTGTCCTCCACTGTCTCCTAAAATTTGCTACAATTTGTTTATTGGGCCAATGACACTGTCTAACCATCTCATACTCTGCCATCCCCTTCTTCTATTGCCTTCAATCTTTCTCAATATCAGGTTCTTTTCCAATGAATTCTTTCATCTCATTTAGTGGTCAAAGAATTAGAGCATCAGTTTCAGTATCTGTCCTTCCAGAGAACAGTCAAGATTGATTTTCCTTTAAGATTGACTGATTTGATCTTTTTGTATCCAAGAGACTCTCAAGAATTTTTTCCACCATCATAATTTAAAAGCATCAATGCTTCAGTACTCAGCCTTCCTTACAGTCCAGCTCTCACAACCATATAGTAGTACTACTGAGAAAATCATAGCTTTGACTAAACACATGAACAAGAGGGCTGTTTTATTTGAAAGTGTGGTAATGTGAACTTTTCTCCATAAACTTAAATCAATTCAGCGAAAAGATAAAAGTGTTGAAGTTAGCAATGAATATGACTATAGAGCATACATTGGCTAGCAAAATCTTGCCATGATTTCAGAACATAGTTGGCTAGCTGTGAAAAAAGAGATAAACAAGGACACATTACCAAGGATTGCTATACTCTATACGGTAAGTCTTCATCCCTATACAAAGCAACAGGTTGAATAAATTGTGGTTCCTCAGGGATATTGTAAAACCATATTGAGTTAGCTCATGGAACTCTGTAGAATGGACATATAGGTTGGGATAGGACATATTTATAAGATCTTATCAGATCCTGGATAATTTCTATTTGTCAGGGATCTATAAAGAGGTGACCCAATACAGCAAAATATCTTTATATCTTTAGTCCCATCCTTTTTTCAAAAGTTACCATGGATATTGCAGGCCCTTTACCATGTTCCAATAAAGGCAATGAGTATGTTCTGGTGGTCTATGACTATGCCAGTTGGTACCCGGAAGCAGTTCCTTTAAGAAATATGATCACTAAACATATAATGGAGGAACTGGTCATAATTTAAAATTGAGTAGATATACCACAAGAGATTCTTACAGATCAGGCACAAATTTCCAACATCTATATGCAGACCTGGGAATAAAAGGGTGCATACTAGTTCTTATTACACACAGGCAAATGGTCTTATGGAACGGATGAACTTAAGAATGTGTTAAAGAATATGCTAAAAAAGAATATGTTAAAAAAATACACAGATCAGGACCCAAAATATTGAAACACTTGGCTGCCATTTCTGCTGTTTATATATAGGGAGGTTCCACAGGCATCCACAAGTTTTAGCCCTTTTGAATTATTATATGAGAAACAACATTGTGATATATTAGATATAATTAAAGAAGGGTGGACTGGAACCCTAGAAACCTGACTGAATACATCCTGACACAAAGGAATAAGTTGAAGGCCATAGAACATTTCACCCAGAAACATTTAGCAACTGCCAGGGAAAGCCAAAAACACAATATGATCAGGGGTTAAAGACCAAGAAATTTGATGTAGGGGACCAAATCTTATTATTATTGTCAAGTAAAGAAAGTAAACTACAAGCACAGTGAAGGTCCCTATGTAATAAGGAGAAGAATTGGTCTAGTAAATTATGAAATAGGAAAGCTATATATATACCATATGAACCTCCTACAGAAATGGCACAGTAGAGTTGACCCTGGGATGGCCCTATTGGTATTGAAAGAAAGTAATCCAAACTTAGTAGATCAAGCTTGGAAGGTACTACAGCAACCATCCCAAGAAATCATGCATATAAATCTTTAGCTAAGAGAGAATCAAAAAGATGAGATAAGAAGAATATTGGAGAATTATAAATAGTTACTGGACAGCCAGGTACAACTACCTTGGTGGAACCCAGGATAGGCAAGGGGGAAACCTGACCTATCTGACAATGCTTGAATGGTTGAAAGAGGTGCTACAAAAGAAATTTCCAGACAAACGTAGTAGAAGTATCTATCAATGAATGGTATTGACATTTCTGTTGGTGCCAAAAGCTGAATAGTGACATAAGGTTTTGGGTAGACTTCTGGCAGAGTGGTGAAATTTGATAGCTAACCGGGACCCAGGATGGACAAGTTTCTGGATGAGTGGAGAAGCCAAATATCTATCTTCCGTAGACTTAAAAAAGGGATAATGACAAATCCTACCAAAACCCCAGTCCAGAGAAAAGATTGTCAGTATTTGTCAGTTCCCCAAGAGGTTTTTTTTCAGTTTAAGAAAATGTAATTTGGCTACATGGGGTGCCTATCACCTTCATGAGATTAATGAACAAAATCCTTCCCAGGCAAAGAAAATGATGTGCATTTTATTTAGATGATATCTGGTAGGATCATATGCATCATGAGGAAAGCACTGGAACGTCTAAAGGAAGCTGGACTTACTCTGAATCAGAAAAGTGCTACCTGAATTTTCAAGAAACCCAATATCTGAGGTTTATGGTAGAAAAGGGATAAATAAAACCTGAACAGAGGGAGATGGAAACTCTGAGACAAGTAGAAACTCCCAAAACAAAGAAAGATGTAGTATGTTTTTTTCCTGGGATTGGTAGGATATTACCAATGGTTTATCCCCAATTCTTCCCCATTGCTCAACCCCTAACAGAGCTAACCAGGAAAACTTCCAAGATAAGGTGGGCAAAAGAATGCCAGGAGGCAATTAAAAGGTTAAAAGTGCTCCATGTGGAAAACTGGTGCTGAAGTGACTGGATTTTATGCAATCATTTGTTGTACAAATAGATGCATCCACTGGTTCAGATGCAGTATTGATGCAAAAACAAAATGACCACTCTCTCCCAATTCTTTATCAAAGAACTCCAATAAGAACCGAACTATAATACCATCAAGAAAGAGATGTATGCATTCAAAATGGTGATCAATGACCTCCATGTGTACTTCAGGGGTCAGTAATTCATAGTGATCACCAACTACCAGCCACTCACATGGTTACAGAAGATAAGGAACACAAATGTTACATATTCTGGTGAGAGAGAAGTTTCCTGAGGTTGGACTGTAGCATTAGTCTGAAAGATTAGACGACTAACTCTCTGGTCCTGGTTACTGACCCAGATTGGATCTTGCAACATTATCCTGGGACGTCCACCTCAGCTCCTTAACATCATCGGGTTCTTTCATGAGGATATGAAGGGGACTGTTGTTTTTGATGGCTTAACATCTGATTCCTTTGACATTCGAAGTGGAGTGAAGCAGGGCTGCGTCCTCACGCCAACTTTATTCGGGATCTTTTTTGCTGTCATGCTGAAACACACTTTTGGAACTGCCACAGAGGGCATCTATCTCCGGACCACATCAGATGGAAAACTAATCTTTCTAGATTGAGAGCAAAGTCTAAAGTCCAGCTGAAATGCCTATGGGATTTCCTCTTCGCTGACGATGCTGCAGTTACTGCTCACTCTGTCGAAGATCTTCCACAACTTATGGACTGTTTTAGCAAGGCCTGCCAAGACTTTGGTCTAACAATCAGCCTGAAAAAAACACAAGTCATGGGTCAAGATGTGGATTCCCCTCCCTGTATTACAATCTCTGCACAAGAACTGGAGGTTGTCCATGACTTTGTGTACCTCGGCTCAACCATCTCCGACACTCTCTCTTTAGATACTGAGCTGAATAGATGTATTGGTAAAGTGGCCACCACATTTTCCAGACTCATAAAGAGAGTATAGCTTAATAAGAAGTTGACATAACATACAAAGATCCAGGTCTATAGAGCCTGCGTCTTGAGCACACTCTTGTATTGCACTGAGTCTTGGACCTTTATGTATGGCAGGAGAGAAAGCTGAACACCTTTCATATGTGCTGTCTCCAACGTATTCTCAGCATCACCTGGCATGACAAAGTCCCAGATAGCGCAGTCCTAGAATGTGCTGGAATTTCTAGCATGTATACATTATTGAAATAGTGACGTCTATGCTGGCTTGGGCATGTCGTGAGAATGGCTAATGGTCGGATTCTGAAAGATCTCCTGTATGGAGAACTAGTGCAGGGAAAGCGCCCCAGAGGGAGATCTGAGCTGTGATATAAGAATATCTGCAAGAGGGATCTGAAGTGTTCTGTCCCCGTCGGACACACACACCCAAACAGCCAGCCGAGGGTTAAAGAACTTCTCCACACTCCAATCCACAGATAAGAAAACTTGGCAGCAGCTCCGTAGCTGCCTGCCAAGACTTTTACTCAGAGAACAAAAAACAATACACACAGTTAGAAATTAAGTCCATAGCAAACTACTTCGCCAGAGATTCAGCTTTGTCCATCACAGAGTCCAAATGGCCACCACCTCCCTTTTATAGCCTGTGGGGTATGGTCCAGTGACTCAGCTTAATCTCTGGCACGTCTCCTTTTCTGCTGCGCACGCTTGTCGCTCCTACGCTGGCGTGGATCCAGCCACAACTTATCTTCATCACTATCCAAAACACCTGGCTCGACCGGTTAGAGTCTTTGTGGACCGAGGACCGGTTAGAGTCTTTGTGGACCGAGGACCAGTTAGAGAAGAGGCAGCCCTCTGTGGACTCCGTAACGGTTTCTCCTCCCAGGACCTCTCCCTCCGGACCGGTAGAGGAGAGGAAGTACAAGCCTCGGAAGAAGGAGGCTATTCTCCCCGAGTGTTCTCGGAGCCACAACATGAAGGCCTTGGGAATGGACATTAACAGCTGGGAATCCTTGACCTCTTATCATTCAGGCTAAAGGGTTCTGGAGGCTAAAGACGCAGCATGGCCTTCTCCAATTCGAAGAGACACTTGTGTGGCAGGCTGAGGCAAAGAGGCAGTCCCGGAACCAGCGAAATCTGGGGGCTGGACAGGGGACAGATTGTATCTGCCCTCAGTGTGGAAGGGACTGCCACTCTCGAATTGGCCTTTTTAGGCACACCAGATGCTACTTTAGGACCTCTTTCCAGAGCATGATACCATAGTCTC